CCACGTATCCCTATATTGACTAATCTACTATTAGTCTCGCGTTGACTGTTACCTACGCCTGTAATATTGAGCGGCTTTACCGGTCCTTCCGCTCCTAACTCGCGAGCTAAGTCGTCGTCGATTAACGATATAGTAGAGCCTTCGTCAAGTAGCGCATACGTATTAACTTCCTTGCCGCGCGGTCCGCGCACGGTTATCGGGCACACTTTTAACAGTACGGACGCACTACTGCTAACACTCGACGCGACGAGCACGGTTTCGTCCGGTTTAACTGACGCTTCAGGCGTGCGGGCCTTGCGGGTGTGAAGGAGGGCGTGGTGGGGGGTGTTGCAGTCGTCGACGCCGCACTTCCTAGCTTTGCAGCGTATGCGTCGGTGTGTGCTGCTCAAGCACTTGAAACACACCCCATCTTCCCTAACCCACTTCCACCGGTCGTCCGAGCCCATTTGCTCTAGCTTCCTATATTTGACGATAGGGTGTTCACCCCCACAACACATACATGAGGCACTTACCGGTGTCCTCCTGGGCGGTGAATGTCTTTACGTCGCGGGCCCTATCTTCTACGCGGCGTGTTAACACTATTCTTTTCGACGGCGGCGCGTCTCGTCTTACGGGCGATTCCTTAGTCGACGTTACGAACGTATAGGCATGACTTAACGCACGGTCAGCCTCTCTCATCATGAACCGGGATAACGTAACGATGTCCGGTTCGTCCGCACTTCCGTAGTGCTCCGCATAATCGCAACAACGCGACCGTAAGTGAGGGCTAAGTTTGCTAGTAACCTCCCTAGTCAGCATCGGATTACGTAAATATCCTTTGCCGTCGACGTTCTGCATAATGCACACTATATTCTGTAATTTAATCGCGAACGAGTTTAATTCCTGGGCGGTTTGACCCGGGCGCGGAAGGCGTTTTAATTCTTCTAACGCACGATCTATAATTACTTCCGGGCGGCCGAAACACTGCTCCAGTGTCCGCATAATGTCTGCCAGATCCTTCGCGGTAAACAGCAGAGCCGATACTACCTCTCTAGCCTCACCGCGTAAACAGTTCCTTAACCTTGCCATATTTTCCGTATTTGTGAATCCATATAAACGCGTGGATTCATTCATCGCGGCTTTAAACGCTAACCATTCCGCGGCCGAACCGTTAAAAATAGGCAAGTCCTGCGTCTGCTTCGCGGCGGCTGGTCTAACCCTAATCATGCTTTCTAAAGCTTCCGCTAGCCGTTCTATACCCCTATCTTTCTCTCGCGGGGTGAGCGACCTATCTCTATCCCTATTTCCTTCTAGCCTACGCTGTGGCGCCGGCGACCTATGTACACCTACATCCCTATGACACGGCGACGGTAATCTACGATCCGCAAGGCGATGTGGCGATTCATCTCTGCCTACATCATTACACGGCGACGGTGATCTACGATCCGCGTGGTGATGTGGCGATGGCGATCTACGTGCACCTACATCCTTACACGGCGACGGTAACCTACGATCCGCGTGGCGATGTGGCGATCTATGTATAGGCGATAGAGTGCGGCGTTGAACGCGCGACGGCGACGTAACCCGTACACGGTGATCCACCTGGTTCATTTCTACGGCGACTCCATTGTCCCTCTGTATCGTATTTACGCGGCGCGGTTGAACGTCATTCGCAACCAACCTCCCCTGGGCATCTTCAGCGTGGTCGTAACCGGTTCCCTTACTCGGCGGGGCCTGCTCTATCTCGATGCAGGGCGCGAGCTGAGACGGGCGGTAGGGCGGCTCCCCCCGCACAGTCTCTACGTTTTCTAACCACCTATCAACGCGTACCCTATTTTCGACTAATTCGTCTTCGTTTAGACTTTCCCTATCTGTTTCTTCTTGCAGTTGAGCGATATCCCTAGCGTACTTCTTCTTGATGAGATCTTCCTCGATTTGCAATTGCTTCCTCCTAATTGCAGCTAGTTCCTCCGCGGTATTATACTCGATTTGCTTTAACCTTGCTATTGCGCTAGCTGTCGACCGGGCTGAACGGACTGAACGGACCGACGGGGCGCGGGGCGCGGGCCTATGTAAAACGTCTGCTACAGGCGCGACGGTACGCACTATGGAACTAGTGTCTATAGTCGGAAGATCTTCTATTATCGCGGCGAGCGTTTCTGTGCGCGGCGCGGATGTGCTAACTTCTCCCAAGCGATCGGTTGTAGACACGGACATAGCGGGGCGCGGCGGCGCGGGCACGGGCGCGAGAGGGGGCTGCGGCGCGAGCGGGGGCTGCGGCACGGCGGAGGGCGCTTGTGCCAACGCGAGATAATCGGACGGGGACGCGGGTGCTTCCTCGAATATCCGCATTCCTACTGGCGTTTCGTCGTTGTTCCGTGTCTTCTGGCTTCTTGTCTTCCGCCTGATGGTGTCCCCCGTTGCGACCTCCGATCGTCTTCAAAAAGGCGCACGTATTGGACGCCGTTCCCGCCTCAAGGGCGTTACCAGATGGTCACAGTTTGGCACCGTTAGGGAGCAACCACCCAGCCGCATAAACGCGGTTTAAGAAACAAGAATTGTCTGGAAACAGACAATATATATATGACGTAGATGTAAACAAGAAACGAGGAAGGAATTAGTACCGACGATCTTCTCTCTTCGTCGACGTACTTCTTTCTTCCTCAAAGATCTTCTATAATGATCTTCTTTCTTCTGTAATTATGTTCTTTCTTCTGTAATTATGTTCTTTCTTCTGTAATTATGTTCTTTCTTCTGTAATTATGTTCTTTCTTCTGAAATTATGTTCTTTCTTCTATAATTATGTTCTTTCTTCTGAAAATATGTTCTTTCTTCTATAAATAACTTCTTTCTTCTCTCTTCTGGCTTGAATCCGGCGATGATGGACCAAGAACTTGTTGTGGATCGCAGTGGACTGTATGATTTTACTATGGCGAGTGGACTGTATTAAACTGACTACGCTAGGGGACTGCTCAAAGAAAAGATGGTACTAAGAAAACTATACTGTATTCACTTATTTACAATTATCACTATAAACTATCCTATGTACAGAGGGGAGTCTTCTGGAGTTCTCTGGAGTCTTGATTTCTTCCTGATTTCTTCTCTTGCCGCTTCCGAAGTGAAATGAACAACTCACAGACCAAAACGCCCTTCTTATATGCCGCAAGAGAGCGTCTTGGTTCGTAAGTAGCGTCGTAAGGCGATGCCGCGCGCTGATTGGTCTGCGACATCGCGTAATCTGCTGCCGGTGTGCGGGGTGTGAAGGGGCGACGGGGCGGCGGCCTCCTCGCTGTCCGCTACAGCTAGGGTTGTCAAATGTGCTTCTGTTGTAGTATGTAGGTTGTGAACTTGTGAGTCAAATGAAATAAAACATAACTACATCAAAATTGTGATTATAAAAAATAATTAGTTAATAAATCTGATATCTATATAATTCCATATTATATAAATTAAAAATATCAGAGTAATGTAATTTAACTGCCTTGCAGCGTAAGCATTTGCGACATAAAGCCATTAGACAAATAAGCCACTGCCTACATAATTTTGAACATATTTTTCTTAAGTAATGAAAATAAAAAAAAATGTTTCAAAGTTTGTTAAACTACATAACACTAATTAAAATACTACGTGTTTTGATTAATAACCTTTGGTTATTTTAAGTTGTAGGTAACAAGACGAGATTAAAAATCACTATTACTTATTTATAAAATTATGTAAGCACTAAACATCAATGTAAATTGACATAATATCGGGACTTGAAGCTGATAACTCGCGTCACACCTATTCCGCGCCGCTTAGATACTTTTTTTACTCGTATACCGAGCGTCTCTGTTAAACAATAAAATACAAATATAATGAATGACATATTTACCTACTACATAGAACTAAATCATATGAGCATATAAAGTATATTTATTGCAGGAACTTCTATCTGGTGTAATAGTAAAACCTCAAGTATTTGGAATTTTAATGTATAAAAAATATCAAAATTTAATATTTATAAGAGAAAACTTTTAAATACCTTTAATATGGTTTAAACGTTTTTGTTTTAAGTTTAGTTTTAATTAGCTACATAAATTAATTTATGTAGTAAGTAAATGGTGCAAATAGTTTTTGACAACCCTAAAAATCTCATTCGTATCTATTCACCCCTTTCTTCGTTTCTATTAACTCCAAAGGCGTTTTTATTCACCCCTCAGTCGTATCTATTCACCTCGAGTTCGAGAAAATATATCAGTATCCTGATTTCACTATTTAAAAGAATAAAATCGTTGAGTATCGATACTCACCTTTGTGTTAAATAAATGAGAAACTTAGCTCTCTAAATAAACAAATGAGAAAACACTGAAGAACTTAACGTTTAACTAAAAGTTTTACACAGCATAAAACCACTTGTACTCACACGTTTATAATAAAAAAAAATGAAAAAAATGAAAAATGTTGGCAAATAATAAACAGTAGTAATAAAAAGACGTTCCCGAGCTGTAGACAAACCTAGAAACAACTTTATCAAATAACCAGACTTGTATCTATTCACCCCGCGACTTCTATTCACCCCATTTTACGGTAATTAAGGCATTATATATATATATATATATATTCTGTCGTAATTTACACATTTAAAATGTTAGATTTTTAAATAAATATCCAACAAATTATTTGAATAATAATGATTAATATAATGATAATTTACGGGAATTTTAGTAGATAGTAATTAATCCTACTAAACAAATATTGCGGTCATTAGTAATTTTAAGGATACAATAGCCAGTGTAGGCCGGCTTTAAAAACAGCAGGTGTCAACCCTAAACATAAATCCGAACGCAGCAATACACCACCACCCGGTTTTCGCGATCATGAGCACAGTGCGTGCCGATCTAAAATAGAATTTGTAATTTTTATATTTTGTGACGTACTATCAGGGCAAACGAACTTTACACTACGATACTAAGTTAACATTAGATTAGAACAATATACCTATATACTTTAATAGAAAAGAACACTAGTGACAAAATACTGTAATGTTTAAATCTTTGTTTAATTCTTGGATTACTCAAGCCAGCTGTCAAGAGGTGGGTAAGTTTTTGTTTAATTAGAGGCATATCCTTTTTTTTTAATTGCTTTACTTAAAACTTGCTTAAATTATTCCTTTATTATTATTCTTTTGTATCAACCGCCCTTGAAATGATTGCCCTTGAAGGTGTATGTAACGTCAGTTATGCGGTATTCTGGTTAGGTACACGCACTCAAAGCAATATTCAATTAAAACATTTAACACTATATATTTTTACTCTTCGTAATATTGCTATTGTAATAATTAATTATGTACGATTACACTTAGTTAGATAATCAGACAGACTAACCTTTTTGACCTTCTTCTGTCTGAAACTCCCTTTTCGTAATCAGCAACACAGCATTAAGTACTAATATTTTTAAGTATCTATGCGCGAAGCGATAATCATAGGTTTTTGTAAGAACAGGGATGTATATTAATTCGAACCTGCCAGCCTGTAGGAATGATTCCAGTCATATAGTAACAAAAAATATTGTGTAGCTTGAGCACACAAAATCTTATCAGTTACGTCAACCACTTAAATATTATTCGTCAATTCAGTTCTATTTGATACTTCACAACAAAATGACTCCACAGCGGGTAATTTGTTCAGTTTTTATTTTTATCATTTCAGTAAAAACTTGTTATACTTAAGTTCTTTTTTCAAATGTTTTCAAGTGTGTAAGCAGTGCTAAAGTGTCACATATTATTCTGTGAATGTGAAGGATTTTGTGGTTACAAATAAGCTACTGGTTTGACATTCTATTTCATTAATCAATTATAATACACTTCCTTTAGGTTCTTAACAGTTGAAATAATAAATGACTGTTTTTAGTAACTTTATAATTTAATTCAAATTAATTTCAAACTGACAATGTAAACGCCAACTGATTAAAAGTGAGGTTAGAGCATTAGATTGTCTCTTGTATTGATTGAATCTTGTTGAAATAAATTCTGCCAATATTATGGAAGTGACACTAAGATTAAATTATGGTTCTTAAATTTCATATCAGACTGTTTGTTTAAATGCCTGTAATAATAAACAAATATCTGCAGTTAATTATATAATAATTAGTTCTTATATAGAATTGCCCTAATAATTACAGTATATTTTTATAAAAATTTATGAAATATATTAATGTTCTAATAAAGAATGTATATACTGGTGTAAAATTAGTATGACAGGAGATTTTTTCTAGAATCGCCCCTGACAATTGAGCACACAGTCCACCTGATGGTAAGTGGATGCTGTGGCCCATAGACATCTACATTTATTCTCTATGAAGTATCAAAATTCATATGCATTGTCACCCCTGAAGACTAAGATGGAACGCCTTGTTTTCAGTTAAAAGTGTCTCTGGTTCTCTACACTCACCATACAAAACAGCAGCATTGGCCTGCTGTTTTACACTGGTGTTTTGTGAGAGTGTGGTCCTTGCCCAGTCAAGCCAACCCATTCATGCTACAACTATACCAGTACTATTTTTATATGTTACTTTTTTTACAAGAACCGATTTTGATGATTCTTTTTTTATTTGAAGGCTGGTGCTTCTCATGTGGTCCCATATAAATTTGATCCCTTTTACTGGAAACAAGGCATTCCATCTTAATCCTCAGGGGTGACAATGCATCTGCATTTTAATTCATAATTGAGGATAAATGTAGATGTCTATGGGCCACAGCAACCACTTACCATCAGATGGACGTGTGCTCATTTATCACCCTTATCCTATAAAAAATACAGTCAAATTAAGTACCTCCTCATATTTGAAGTTGGTTTAAAATAAAAACTGTAGTTCCCAACCTGCCTGCCAGGTGTAGCAAATATGGCAAATATCCCCTTACGACGCAATGTATAAGGAGGCTTATGTTCAGTATTGGACTTCTGATAGGCTGTAATGGTAATGGTAATCATTTTTTTTTGTTTACTGTAGTGTATAATAAAGCATATTCATACTAAAATACGTATTATGGCACCTTAAAAGTAGGGAGGATTTGTTCTAATGTAGTTGTATTGATATTTGCAGCACCAGACATGTCTGCTCTCTGTCACTGTGTATAAACATGGAATATTAAAAAAAAAACAAACAAGACAAGATTTCATTTACTTTGATGTCACTGCCATGACTGACTTGACATTGCCAAATTCTTTTTAGAGAAGCCATAAAGTAGAAAAATATAAAAAAATTTGATCTATCACTAGCTGGTTCAGCAAGCGTTGTTTTGCCCTTTCCATTAAATGGCATAATGAGTTATACTCTGATTTTACTTGACTTTTTAAATTTATAATTTATTAATAATTTGAGCGCGACACTACTTTATAAGTATACAATTTTGTGATTTTATATTTTGGCACTAAGCAAGTATATTGTGAATATGAATGATTTTAGTTCATATTATAGAATTTGTTAATAACTTTACTACAGTACTATCTATCAGATCATGACATAGCTATGAACCAGCATCTTGACATAACAAATACATTGTCTCCCTCACACTTTTCTTATCTTGCCACGAAAGAAATATTATTTTAAATAATGTTTCATTTTAATAGATGCTAGTAATTCATTTATTTGTATTTGTTAATCAATAATGTAATATGTTTATCAATAATAATATACTACGAAAGGAACTTTGTTCCAACCGAGTGTTCCACGACACTCACGCATGTTTTCATAGAATGTATCTCTAAGAAACTATTTTGGATATAGGTTACCGACTTACCGATTGCTTTTATGGCTTTCTTCTGTAAATAGCCCTAAAATTCAGAGGTTACAGGGTCTTTTATGCTCTTATCACTTTATTTATACAGAATTGTTTTCATTGGCCATTACATTTGATATGGCTTCTATTTTAATCTTGCTACTCTCAGTTTAAATTATAGTGGATTTACCAAGCCCATTATATGATAACAGTTATTATTGCCTTAAACAACGAGAATGCTGTTAATCCTTATACTATAAAACCTTTCAGATCTTTGTCAGGCAAATAATATTGGTTTTACTTAAAGTATTGTAACATAATCAAGTTCAAAAAAAATTCTTAAACGAAAATTTGTAAAATAATGCCAACCAAGTGCGAGTAAAGCGTAACTCCATTAGGGTTCTGTACGTATTAATACCAATTCACTTTTTACAACTAGATACTTAATTAAGTAACGCTTTTTTCTGTCCCATTTCTAAAGTAGTACTGAATTGAAACCATGTGGGGTGACAAAGTACATTACGAATCGACACTTTTATCATTTGTCTACCGACTTCAAAAAGGAGACAGTGTTAATTAACAATGATTTATATAATATTGTATTTTAATGGCAACACTGTGTTGGTTGTCAACACTGTGTCTGTTATGAAGGAAGGTTAAATATGATGTTATAGTTTCTCCATTTTGTTGTTTTGAGGTTAATAAAAAGCATGTTTTATGTTCAAAGTATTATATCTTTAATTATCCCCATAATTCTTAACAGACAGTACTCAATTCGACTTTATGTTTTTTTTATGTGTGTTACCTCATAACTTTTTACTGGGTGAACCGATTTCGATGATTCTTTTTTTTATTTGAAAGCTGGTGTTGTTGTTGTCCTATATAAATTTGAACAAGATCTGACCAATAGTTTTTGAGTTATTCTTAATAATTTATATTGGAGTCGGTTGTACAAAATTTTTAATTTTAAATTATTGATTACATACTAATATTTTACCAGGTGGTAGGAGTCCCTTTCTGTTTGGTGGCAGATATGTATAGAGAGCCAGTATATTTATCCTCGATTGTCACCCAATACTTCTATAAAAAAAAGACCAGACATATATGATACATAGTTATTCACTTCACATTATGTTCTATTTTAGTATCAGTCTGTCATTATAATTAACAAGATAACGCATCATTATCGCAAAGACCTTGATAAATAGTGTCCTAGTAGTTTAACTTGCAGAAACTCCCATGTTTTCTGTCTTTATCCATACAAATAAATAAAATTGAAGTGTCTGTTTGTTATGTCAAAATAACAGCTTTTTACTAAATGCATATGAAATTATATATGGTACATATAGCAAAAACACAATTTTTAAAATTTTTGACTGTCCGTCCGTCCGTTTGTTCCGGCTAATCTCCGAAATGGCTGGACCGATTTTGACGAGACTCACTGGCAGATAGCTGATGATATAAGAAGTAACTTATGCTGCTTTTATTTAAGAAAAATAGTACGGGTTCCACGCAAAAAAAAAAGACGCCAAATTACAGGCGGGCGAAGTCGTAGGGACAGCTAGTTAAAGAGTTTAAAATGTAAAATATGACATGAGAAAAAAAAATAGGCTTAAGAGAGTTCATACCTCATTTGAGGAAATAGAAGAGGCAAATTTAGAACAGGATAAACCTCATGGCAGAGAGCGGTATATTATCTCGTGATCTTAGTTTTTATACGGGCCCATTTTGAGAGAGTTATAAAGAAATTTGTCTGCCGCGCTGCGCGTCAGCGTATGTTGGCAAGCTTCATATTTCCTGGATATGTTTGATTCCTCAGACATGCGGGTTTCCTCAAGATTTTTCCTTCTCCGCCGAGAAGTTAATATTGCCAATTAACAATTTAATCACGCCTCGTCTGCAGGAGTTTCAAAAGTGCGAGACTTCTGGATCCTACATCTATATACGTACAGATTCTGGCATCTACTACTGTTGTTATTTATATTCAATACGAAAATAAACAACAAAACATATTGTTTACAAAGTCTAAATGTAAACATAAACAAAATGCCAGCGACACGAAAATTGGCACTCGCAACTTTATCCACCAAGGTGTACTAACCCTAATGAGGAATATAACTGACAAGCTAATACCTGCGACTTCGTCCGTGTTGTTTGATATATTAACAAAGTTTTCGTATGTGCAAAGGAAAAACATCAAAAAGACAAAATTTATTTGTAAACAATGTTATTCCTTGCCCCATTTGTAGCTAAAATATATAAATTATCTGGGTTAGTAACGCGAGAGCAAGCGACGTAGGTACATTTGACCGCGTGAAAAACCCCGTATAAAAATCGTTGTTTCTTAAACTTCAATAACTTTATATTAAATGAAAGCCAAGTGTCAAAGAAATAAAACTTAATTTGAAATCTATCCAGCAGTTTTTCCGTGATGCGCGCGCAACTGCAAACCTCTATCATTTTATTTATATAGATAATAAATAACTATAACAAGTACATTGGTTCTCAAAGTTTCTTTGAAAAAATGAAATATATTAAAAATGTTTTTTTGTTGTTTTAGGGGGCTGGTTATTTAAAACGGGCGGACACCGAGCGACTACATGAAATCTTCTTAAAGTACGCCACCGTCGAAAAGAACGGTGAAAAGTGCATCACTAGTGAGGATTTTGTTAGAAAATATTTAGGATTATTCGATGAAGGTAAGGCGTATTATACATTTAATTTTTATCGACTTGAACTCAAAATGCTATCATTTAAAAACTTCTTATTAACACCCTTTTTTCACCTTGACCTGTATGATAGTATGTATGAATGTCATTTTGTTTATTTTATTTATAACACAAACTTGTAACGAAGTCTTACACAATTCAGTTGTGACCCACTTCCGAGCGACTGAACAATTAAAAATTTTCCGAAATAATAAGAAACAATAATAATTTTATTATCATGATATAGTATTCTCGCTAGGATTATCATAGTCAAATAGTCAAATCCTGTTGTTTGAATGTCTTAAACACTTATATTATTTAATGTAACAATGTTTCTCACGTAATTCTAAGCGATAGTGTATACAGAGTATTGATTTAGTGGTCTCATATAATTTTTAAACCGATTATAATTATTGAAGTCTCTTTTTTTATTAAAATTTTAAAAAATACCGAATTTATTAAAATTTTATGTTGCTATAATGATCAATTGCTATGCACACAATGCAGTCTGAACACGTACTGGATCGCCCCCGTCACTACATCAGATTTGATGGACCACAAATCCTCGCTATAGAACACCGATTCCTTCCAATGATGATTCGCGAGGTTATTGAAATCAAAAAAAAACATCCTAATATCAATAGAGATGATGACTGGGTGCTGCCATCTGCTTGAAATCCTGTAATTAATAAAATTAAATCTCAATGCAAGCATATAACTACAAGACTTCAACACATAAGTTCATACTGCGTGCATCGGACTAAAAATTAATAATATTAATCTGGAGGTTGCCGTGGTTAACTATGACATTAGGACGTCGAACACCTCAGTCATCGTCCCCATGACAATAATAATAAAATATATGCAATGAAATCCGTAAAAACTGGTTTTATTTATGTTGATACATAATTTAGCAAGAAGTACAACATAATAATTTATTTGGCTATAGTCTTGTCTTAATTCTTCCTCATCACAAATAGTTGTAAAAAAGTAAAAAAATGTACTGTGGCTCTAAGTTTTCATTTGCATCACAAATCACCAGGCCCAGTCTCATATGAAATTAAGTCAGTAAGGCTGGAACACGCCAAAAGCGTGTACGTATGCGTGATGTCAGAGCACACACAATTTCTTTTCCAAATGCGCGTGTTCGTGCTGTATACGGAACGCAGGTAGTACCTATGATATTTACCATACAGTTTCATTTATTACCATTGCAGTTCGGGTGTGGGACTGTGGTGCGGATTGTGAACTATTCTTAGAATTGAATCGATATTAAGGGAAGGATATTTATCCGTCATTATATTATGTAAAAATTAAACATTATTTTGTAATAAAAAGTAATAAAACAACTTTAAAACCAAAATACCAACTATAAAGAAAAATAATAATGTACCGAAGAGTTAAAGTCCCTGATATCGGAAGTAATTTACCTTCGTCTATTAAAAAAAGAATCAAAATGCGTAACATACATACAGGTGATCACTCTTCGTCTATTAAAAAAAGAATCAAAATGCGTAACATACATACAGGTGATCACTTACCGTATGCTCGTTTGCCTCCTCTTCCATAAAAAATATGGACGAATTGCGAACGGCTGAAATTTATTTTTATGTACTTATCTTTAGATCTGTAAAACTATGAACATATTTTTCATTTACTGTTACGTTGTATAACGCGTAGTCTTTCGTCATATTCTGATAGGTCAAAATCTTATTGAAATAATTCGATAGAATTACTTAGGGTTCGGAGTTTTTGTTTATAATTATAGCCGTGCGTCATGAACTCTTAACTTGCTATCTCTAAAGATAAAGTTTTTACCTTATTATGTCGTTAAATTGAGTTACATTTATACATTATACTATATACTTATTTTGGTAGGGTTATGATAAACATCCGTCACGCTGTTACAGTTACGATTGGGGATCTCTGTATCTCAAACTTTAAGTTTTTTTTTTTAGTTAATGAAATAAATAAGTTCTAAGTCAATTATATTAGATAAATCTCATCTACGGTAAATTTTAATTTGTTGCTGTTTTTTATAGAATAAGGATGACAAACTATCAAAGACTTGTACATCCATTCTCCATTAATAATGAATATGTAGATGAGTTGTCATCCCCGAGGACTAAGATAGAATGCGTTGTTACCACTCATCATACAAAACACAGCAGCATTAAGCTGCTATTTCACGCTGGTATTTTGTGAGAGCGTGGTCCTTTTTCGGTCGAATCGACATCGGTACAGTAGCGTGTACTTGGTAGACACCAAGTACACGCTACTGTACCGATGCGCTAACTGATCCCTGCCAAAGGCGCTCAACACTCAAATTTGACGGGAGCTGTATATTTTGTTCTTATGTATAAAAGTAAAGTCTAAACGGTTCCTCCTAAATTTCTATTAAATTTTAGGAATTGTTCCCTTTATCCAGGAATTCACAATCTGCCTTCTCATTCCAGATGACTACAACAAGGAGTCAGTCAAGCTCATCGCGGGCATTGTGGACATGGACAAAGACGGGTACATCTCGTTCTCCGAGTTCCAAGCCTTCGAGGGTTTGCTCTGCGTGCCGGACGCACTATATAAGACCGCCTTCCAACTATTCGACACTAATGGCAATGGACTCGTCGCTTTCGGTGAGTTATTGTAATTATGAACTGTTGATCACTGCTAAATAGAACATTAATCCAACCCCAAAAGGTTTCTCTTCTGTATAGTAGTCTATTTAGGTAATACCCGTATTGTAGTGAGATATCAGTGACCTACCTACCCGGATGGAATCCTTGGCTAAATCCTTTCACCTAGGATAGGGGTTGTAACTCTCCTATACAATACACTGTGTCTTAGCACCGACCTCTAAAGCTCTAATGTTGAAACTATTTCATTATTTTTAATCTTTGAAGCAGACTTGTACTTTCGTCATCATCATCATTACAGCCCTTCACAAGTTCACTGCTGAACATAGGCCTCCCGCAAGGAATGCCACAAAGCACGGTCCTGAGCCACCTGCATCCATTGACTTCCTGCATGTCTTACCAGGTCGTCACTCCATCTAGTGGGGGGACGCCCTACACTTCGCCTACCGGTGCGAGGCTGACACTCGAGAATTCCCCATCGGTTGTCGGTTCTTCGAGCTATATGACCGGCCCATTGCAACTTCAGCTTACTAATCCGTTGGGCTATGTCGGTTACACTGGTTCTTGTACTTTTAGTAAAGTATAATTTTATTTGATAAAAATGTCCGTTTTCTAAACTAAATAGTATTTAGTAAATACATATGCATACACACATATACATATATATATATATATACTCTTATCGACGTCCTCAAACAAAAAACTGGTAATGTGCTATATGTACATATGGAGTTTTTACTGTTATGTCAGATTCGTAATCTATAGGTTGAAATACACTTTGGTAATTTTGTTCAGTTCTTTTCTGGCTTTATTTAAGGAAATATAATAAATGCCACTTTTATTGTATGGAAATTCACAAACTTGATAATGACAAAAAAAGTATTGTTATACATACGAGGGTGAATTGAAAAGTACTCGGCCTAACCAAGAAAATAAACAAATACTAAATCAGTTATATTTTTATTTTTCTACATAATCACCATCAAGTTCAATACACTTTTGCCACCTCCCCTTCCAAGCATTTAGACCGTTGAAAAAAAATGATTCTTCCTTAGAGTCAAAATATGCGTCTACAGCTGCATTGACCTCGTCGTTTGTCGAAAATCTTTGACCTCCCAAGTGCTTTTTTAGGTTAGGGAACAGAAAGAAGTCTGATGGTGCCAGATGAGGTGAATACGGCGGATGCGGTAACAGTTCAAAGCCACAGTTGTGAATTTCAGCCATTGACTGTACTGACGTGTGAACACGGGCGTTATCTTGATGAAACAGGACTTTTCTTCTGAGCATTCCTCGACGTTTTTCTTTTATTTCCTCTCGTAAACGACGTAGTAAGGTGCAGTAGTAATCAGAGTTTATATTCTGACCCCTTTCAAGATAATCAATCATAATCACACCTTTCGAGTCCCAGAATATTGAAGCCATCACCTTATTTGCCGACAAAATCGACTTAGCCTTTTTAGGGGGTGGTGAACCAGGTCTTCTCCACTGTTTTTGATTGTTTTTTTGTTTCCGTTGTACAGTAATGAACCCATGTTTCGTCCATAGTAACAAAACGATTCAAAAAATCATCTGCATCGGCTTCAAATAACTCCAAACAGTCGCGTGAAATAGTCAATCGCGTCCTTTTTTGTTCAACTGAAAGCAGTCGCGGAACCCACCTCGCAGACACCTTGTGGAAACCCAACTCGTTGACAATGATGTTTTGAGTTCGTTCATAAGAGATGCCTATAATCTCGGCTATCTCTCTAATTTTTAATCTGCGGTCTCCCATTATTAAATCAAGTACTTTTTTAATATTTTCGTCAGTAGTTGACGTCGAAGGCCTTCCAGAGCGGGGTTCATCTTTCACACTCTCTCTACCACGCTTAAATTCTGCTATCCATTTTTTGACGGATGAATATGACAGAGCACAATCGCCTAATGTACTGACCATGTCATCATGGATGGCTTTTGATGATAGCCCCTTCTTATGGAGGTACTTAATGACGGCACGCTGCTCGATTTGCTCCATTCGCGGAAATTATGTCCGATTACTTTGTTAATAAATTTATAAAATCACAACTAATTATCGCACACGTTTCGAACTTCACACAATGAACTAGTCTGAACTGAACTAAATAATGTGGGTAGATTTGATTTTTAGAATTGAATGGATCTGTGTTAGGCCGAGTGCTTTTCAATCCACCCTCGTATCAAAACGAAAACATTTCTTTTGTGTTTGGTGTTTGATTTGGTTAATTACAATTACGGCAATATTGGCATAAACAACTATGTATTAATAAAGTGCTTGGTAAATGTAGCTATATTTTAAGTAAAATCAATAAATAATGAGCCCCCCCTACCCTAACCCCCTTGCGGAAATGTACAGTTTATGAGTAATATTTTTTTTTTGTACAATCATAACCTTACTTTTTTACACAGGAATATTGACATAACCTCTACGGCTCGCACTGATACCTGCAATTTGCCATAGCGGGCAAGGGCTGTTCTTCCCTCTGCACCTACGACTTTAAAAAACACTCTGGGGTCGGGCAGACATGACTACGTGGAGTCGGGGCGTTCTTACTCGGTTTTAGTACAGATTCGACCTATCTTATCTATAATATATGTATAACTGATACAGAACAAAAAGTGCTGTTCATACCTTATAGTAAGGTAATGGTGGTCCTGGACCAGATAATTCCCAGAATATTACCATCATCTACATCCAACCACAATAATCGTTCAGCACTTAATTAGCACTTAATTCCTTGCTAATTAATGTTTGTCGTATATCGTCACTGCGTTGCTAGCGATACATTTTGTCAGCATCGCAAATTTCAATAGTTCGTTGCGGTGAAAATTTTAGAGCATCTAATTTTTAAACTTGGCACCTAAATAGCACCTAAAAGCCCCTAATTTTGGGTGTTTCTAAATGCTAATGCATGACTTTGCGTTGCGGGCGATACACAACTATATGTATTAAATTAACATTTACGTTTAGTTTATTTAATAGATATGATTTTTTCGATTTCGACTTAAATGTTTTTATTTTACTGTTCGACTGACTCCACATCATGTTTCGTAATATACCGTTAGAAAATAATGGATATACAGGGTTATTTTTCAAAGAGTATCCAAATTTTATATTTAAGTTTAAAAATATAAATAATGATATACCTTATTGCAGTTTTTGAAAATACTAGTAAATAAGGCTTCTAATTTTTTTTGAAATTATCCTAAATTGAATATCACTTATGAGCAACAACTACTTGTACGCACGTTCCTCTGTGTGCGATTCAGTTTACAACATTTTTGCAGACCGAGCGACGCTTACGAAGTGCGCAGTAAAATAGTAGGCATTAAATATTTATGAATGACAATCAGTTAAAATAATGCATTACCACGTATACTGAATTTAAGGGGGAGGCATTGGCCGTTAGTTTGGACATAGCGAAGGCCTTCGATCGGGTCTGGCACAAAGCGCTTTCGAAGCTTCCTTCCTATGGGCTTCCCGAGAAATTGTGCAAATGGATCACCAGTTTCCTTGCTGATCGGAGCATCAAGGTCGTAGTAGACGTTGCATGCTCTGATTTCAAGCCTATCAACGCTGGTGTTCCACAAGGCTCCGTGCTATCACCAACGCTGTTTCTTCGGCATATCAATGATATGTTGCAAACCGGTAACATTAATTGCTATGCAGACAGCACTGGTGATGCTTTATACACCGGCCGTGCCAATGTTTCTCGGGAAAACGTCGCCGAGTACCGGAACAAACTTGTGTCTTAAGTCGAGAATTTGTTAAACAAAGTCTCAGACTGGGGGCCACTAAATCTAGTCCAGTTCAATCCCCAGAAGACACAAGTTTGCGCGTTTACCGCTAAAAAGAACCCCTTTGTCGTATCTGCTCAGTTTAAAGGCACACCCCTTGTTGCCTCTGTCAGTATCGGTATCCTTGGTGTCGACATATCGAGTGACGTGCAATTTCGTGGTCACTTGGAAGAGAAGGCCAAATTGGCCTCTAAAAAGCTTGGCGTGCTCAGCAGATCGAGGCAGTATTTAATGCCGGCACATCGCTTGCAACTTTACAAAGTTGCAAGTTCGGCCTCACATGGAATACTGTTGTCATCTCTGGGCCAGGGCATCCCAATGCCAGCTCCTTCCACTTGACCGCATCCAGCGCAGATCGTCGACGACCGACTTCTTTCTGATCGGCTCGATACCCTGGCACTGCGTAGGGATGTTGCATCCCTTTGCATTTTCTATCGAATTTACCACGGGGAGTACTCTGAGGAATTGTCTGGATTAATTCCAGCCGCCAAATTTCACCAACGCACATCACGTCAAAATTCACGATACCATCCTCACCATCTGGATGCTTGGCGGTCCATGACTGTGCATTTTACTAGGAGTTTTCTTCCTCGTACAACTTCTCTTTGGAATTGTTTACCACCGGCGATTTTTCCGGACCGATGCGACTTAGGGACCTTCAAGAAAAGAGCTTACACCTTTCTAAAAGGCCAGCAACGCATCTGCAATTCCCCTGGTGTTGCGGTTGTTCATGGGCGGCGGTAGTCACTTACCATCAGGTGAGCCGCTTGCTCGTTTGCCCCCTCTTCTATAAAAAAAAAAAGACAAAAGGGACTCACTATTCCTCTAAAAATATTTTAATATGAATTTAATATAAAATCATAATAAATTCCACGCGGATGAAGTCGCGGGGAAAGGTAGTAGGCTAGTACATAACTTATTATAGTACATATATTATATAGGCCTTAGCCTTACTCTCTAGAACAAAAAAGTTCGAAAATTTTCGCTATGTCTGGGTCAAGCATCCCAATCATGTAAGAAAAACCGATACCATCGCATGTAATTATGGTGAAGTCGAAAATAGACTCAAACTCAACTCATTATCTTTTAATTGTATTTCTATTATTCATAATTTGTTTTTGTACCACACGAAACTTATAAGATTGCAGTTTGATATCCATTCGCTGTCGCATTGTGTTTACGTATTCCACATTTTGTTGTGCAATTGCGTACTCATTTAAATTAAAATTTGGAACATTTTACCAATGTAGATAAACTATTTTCCTCTATTTTAAATCTTATTACATATAGCTTGGGACGCTTTTGCTCTACCTCATTTTCTAACAAATATGAACGATCATTGCTTGTTGATATTTTGTACGTACGAATATATCATTGATATTACTCATTGGTCATCAGTGGTAAGCATTCGAGGCTCGCGTGTTGCATACCTCGTCGCATTATTCTACCTTTATTTATTATCTACCCGCTTTTATATGGAATATTTATTTCTTGTTTTATAGAAAGTTAGTTATAGTTAAGCTCAGTAATGGAATCGATTAGAATATATTACCAAAATGTATGTGGTTTACGAACAAAACACTTGAACATATGTTTAAATTCGTATGATATTTATTTATTATATTTACAGAAACGTGGTTGGTCAACATTATACATACTAATGAATAATTTGATGGCCGATATTTGATGTGGAGGCGGAATTGTAATTACTGTAGTACGTCACAAACGCAGGGAGGAGGTGTATTAATTGTTGTGAGGAATAATCTTTCAGTAGTGGAGAGGTGTGACTGGCGTAAATCCGCGGAAGATATTTGAGTCTCCATTTTACTAAAAAGATTCAGGCCGCCAGTGATATATAATATAAACATTCGTGCGCTTTACCTGTCTAGAGACATGATTTTAATTTTGAAAACATGTGAATTTCGCCAACACGCATTGGGGCAGCGCGGCGGACCTTTCCTTGCCCTAAAACCCTCTCAGAAATGGGAGGAGGCCTGTGCCTCCTCGCCTCCAGCCTGGGACGTGTATATAGGCTGTAACTTTTACTTTTTATGAGGAATCCTCTGCGGAACATTGGTGAAGATATTAGTTATTCGCTAAATACTTCAGTACTACATTCGTTAAACCAGAAATGGAAACATCTGATTAAAAATTATTTTCTATAACTAAATATAGTACAAACGGTATTAGCTCAATACAAGTTTCAGATAAAGGTATCTTGAAGCTATTACAAAGCCTCGACATCTCCAAATCTGGTGGCCCCGGCCATATACCACCAATATTTATCTTAAATTGTGTTAAAAAGCTTAGTTAAACCTATTAGTATACTTTTAATCGATCGTTGACAGAAGGTTCCACAAGTTTGTAAGTCTGCCGTCACCACCGTAACACCAGTATTAAAAAAGGCGATAAGTTGAATGTTGGAAATTATCGTCCTATCTCGAAGCTATGCTTGTTTTCTAAAGTTCTTGAAAGAATCGTTTATCTGAAGTCTATTATGCAGTACAAAAATGTTTGGGTGATGAACAACATGGGTTCCTTCGAAAGCGTTCAACTACTTCCAATCTCATTTCGGCTAATGAGTTAATCATTAAAGGCATGGATCATCGTGCACGGGTAGACGTAATTTACATAGTACAGCAAGTGTTTTGATCGTATTAATCATCGTGTTCTTTTACAAAAGCTGTTAGCTGCTGGAATACATGGTGACTTGTATAGATGGTTTTGTTCGTATATAGAAAATCGGGCACAGGCTGTTGTTTTGCGTGGCTGTTGTTATGTCTGGTTGGTGTTCAATCCCTGGTGTTCCACAGGGTATATTGTTTGGCCCACTCTTATTCGCAATATTTATTGCCGATATTACGTCATGTTTTAAAAATTCTCTCATACTAATTTACGCCGATGGTATTAAAATTCTTAACGCTACATAATCCATCCGATATTGAACAACTCCAAGAAGATCTAAACATGTTTGCCGATTACCGTAAACTCAATAAGCTTCAATTGAATATCTCCGAATGTTATCATACAACATTTACATGACAAATATATGGTATTGGGTTCGGTTATACTCTTTACAATCAGACTATCAGCAAGGTAAATCATATTCATGATCTCGGCGTAATGCATAATAGTAAATTTGTATTCGACAAACACAATGAATATATTGTCAACAAAGCGTCCAAGGCTCTCGATTTCATTTTAAAATCTTCAGCCTGCTTCCGTTCTCTGAAAACGATCAAGATTTCATATTGCTCATATGTGCGTAGCCATTTAGAATATGCGTCCCAAGTATGGAACTCACAATATAAAGTTTATATATCTCGTATCGAAAGTATACAGAAGGAAAATTCTTCGACTTCAAGGCACAAAAATATTTAGGCAATTATCTTGAAAGATGTATGAGATGTCATTTTTTACCGTTGGAATATAGATTTTGTGGGAAAAGAACATCTAGTAATAATGCAGTTGAAAGAGATTTCAATTTTATTACTTTAATTCATTTCTTAATAATGATTCAAATCGATTTCAAAACTAAATTATTATTAACTTGTAAACCACTTTTAACCAATACATAGTATTAAATCTTGTACGATGGTACGGAACCCTTAATTCGCGAGTCCGACTCGCACTTGACCTGTTTTATTTGATCTCATAACAATTTGTGACTTTTGTTTAAATTTAAATATTTTTTCGCTTACAATAGTGACTTTGTGTAACTTTAATAATATACTTTGTGTACTTTATAATATTTTTTTTTCATAAACCTTGACATTACACTTTAATATCTCTCAAAAAGTTTGCTTGTATTAGACGATTACTTAGAAAATATAATTTTGACTTTTACTACAAGCACAGAGTGTTATGGCTTTGCATTTGTGTAATCTATTTTAAAGTAGGTACAGCAATAAATTTTGTATAGTACATAAATTTTGCCTCTTAAATAAAAAATGGTCCAATAAGTCAGTAATATAATGTTACTAAAACATGTGGAAACTTACCACAACTTAATAATACTGAAACACATTGTTAGCGCATTTTCAGTAATTTGTAATTTCCCATATTGCTCGCATTCAAAATTATTTAACTCGACGTTAGCGTCTTTAAAGTGTTTTTTTATATAGAATCTGATTTTGATTTTAGCATCAAAATGAGGTTCTATAAAAAAAAAACTTTCATTTAATATATCATTTACTTTGATATTACAGCGCGTTCCTGCGTTATACCACAAAAGCAGTAAATATTTTTCCTATAAAATTTTAACTTTTACGATTACTGAATTTTTGCTCGAGGGTGTCTATATATCTTACAACATAACATGATGAAGGCTTCCATCGAGCAGTGCATCAACCGGTTCAGTGCGTAGCCAGGCGTGCCATCGATTATTTTTTTGTGTGGCGTATGACACGCGAGTCGTGTCTTTTTAAAAATCGTTATAACTCGCTCAAATTGTGTTTTTGGAAGATTTATCCAGAACAAAATATTCGTTATTTTGCAAGTAGTTCATGCCTACAGCTTCGTTTCTGAATATTTTGAAAGATTGAAAATTTTAGGGGTTGACAACCTTTTTTTAACTTGTACATGGTACTCTTTTTACTTTGTGAGTTTTAAATCATGTTGTGGAAAAATAGTCTAATAAGTAACAAATAATAGCAGTCATGCGATCGCTCACAAACTCAAGTTGTAAATAAATTTCTGGAAAATAATCTCCTGTTAAAAAAAAACAATGCGTTTGTCTTATAGTTTAATTTTGCTTAAAATGGTTGAACTGCCGTCTTATTACTATCATATGGCCGATTAGACCTACAAAGTACCATGTACTCTTGTGAGTATTAAGAGTATTCGGCAGAGTACTCGGCCCAATCTAGGCCGAGTACTCGGCGAATCCACTACTCGTTCCATGTCTACTTCAAACAAGCCTAAATTGAATAAAAAAATTTGATTTTGTCTTTATACCTACGTATATATAGTAAATATACTTGTAAATATAGCCTCTTTTCTAACATATCCTGATGGTAATACAATAATTAATAAAATGTTTTGTTGTTTTAGACGAGTTTGCGGAAGTCATGCGGAAGACAGTCCTCCACAAGAAGTTGCCTTTCAACATGGAGAGCACGTTCGTGCGTCTCTACTTCGGCAAGGATAAGAAGCGTCTAGTGACGTATCCGGAGTTCAGCCAGTTCCTGCACGACTTCCACGAGGAGTACGGAGTGGAGGCGTTCAAAAAATGTGACAAAGACGGCACCGGATTCATAACCGTTAGCGACTTCAGGGATATTATGCTGAGTGTTAAGAACCACCTGCTGACCAAGGACTTGATGACCAAAGTTCTCAATGTAAGTCATTACTATAATCATTTCTGAAGCGAGTCCACTACTTAGATGTACTAAGTTATACAAAGTATTTATTATTATGTATAAGAAATTTTAAATAACAAAGACCTACATAATAATAAATTATATTTTTAGAATATAAATGTTATAGTCAAAACTCATAACTGGTCAAAACCACTTGACTGCAAAAATCAGGCAAAAGTAGTTTTGATTAAAGACGTTGGTCAATACCATTATTTCGTATGGTGAGTGTAGAGAACCAGAGAGCCTTTTTACTGGAAACGAGGCATTCCACCTTAGTCCTCACTGGTGACACATCTGCGTTTTGATTCGCAAACGAGGATAGATATAGATAGATATCTATGGGCCACAGCAACCACTTACCATCAGGTGGACTGTGTGCTCGTTTGTCACCCTATCGTATAAAAAAACGTGTGTTTCACAGATGGATTGTCTCCATTGTGATTGGCCGTTGTGACCGAAATTCGGATTAGACGACATTGTTACTCAGTGAGTAGGAGGCGGCGTAACTACCTGATGTCATCCCGTGGGTATCGTGAGAGGTAACTGAGGGCAATGAGATAGGAGGTGGGCAGCAGCATCTTGCTGATAACAACTAAAATAATAAAAAGTTGCCACCGGCCAAGTGTGGCAACTATGAGATAATTTATGGAGGCCTGTGTCCAGCTGCGGTCTTTGGTGGGCTGTAATGAAGGAATGAAATGTGACATTATTATAGTCTGTTCGCTAAGATAGTGTCGGTACCACCCGGAGGCGCACTTATTATTTTCCTTTCATTTTATTATTTTTTACTGTGTTTGTTAAATAAATATTTTTTCTATTCTAAGAATAAAATAGAATACTATTTTAGTGTTATGGTTATTGTAATAAAATATGAATATAAATAATAAACACAAATTACGTAGAACCTTTCACTACGGCGCTTCGTTTTAAAATACCGAATTCTCCTGCGGGTGTACACTGCACACGGCGACCTTTGATGCCGCGGCGGGCGCGTTTGACAAGATGCGACAAAAAGACGACCGTATCTAAGCGAACAGATTATATAACTTTAATAATAAGAACGTTTTCTGCTGCTTACAAATATAATCAACAATTATTAAAGAAATTATTATAACACCCCCAAATTTTCATTTCCAGGCATCGGGCTTCCCACAAGGTGAGAGAAAGATAAGCTTCCCATACTACATGGCCTTCAATTCGCTCTTGAACAATATGGAGCTTATAAAGCGGGTATATTTGAACGCGACCAATGGACACCGAACGCAGGAAGTCACCAAAGAGGAGTTCCTGCATTCAGCACAAATGATGAGCCAAATAACTCCACTCGAAGTGGACATACTGTTCACACTGTGCGACATGATACATCACACTAATGGGTGAGTTTTATTTTTTGATTTATATTATTTGGAGTAGTCAGTAATGTTAAAAAAATCCGTAAAAAATTGTTTTATAGAGTATGATGAGTTCAGGTGCAGGTGACTCGGTGCTGGCAGGTGATGGTACTATGAGCATTCTTTAGAGACCTATGTTAAGTAGCGTAGTTGTGAAGGGCTGTAATGATGGCAATGATGAACCCCTATTTTTAGGTGGTAGAGCCACGTTCTAGTTGTAATATAGCTGTAGCATGAATAGGTTAACTTGATCAGAAAAAGACCACACTCTCATAGATCAGGTCAGAGTACCAACGGGAAATAGCATCGCAATGCTGCTGTGTAATATGTATCTCTTTCTAGTAAAAGTCGCGGCACGTAATTCTAGCGGTGACCGTTATTGCGCATAAGTCGAAAATAAGGTATCATGGGGTAGTAAGCGGGCATCGGGGTGGGCGTACGTATCATTCCGTCCCCGGTACTGATACGTGATATGTGCGCGACAGCGTAATGCGCAGCTATCCCCTCCCCGTTTCGTTCAGCGCTAGACTTACGTGCCGCAACTTGTAACAAGGCATCATCTACCTTAGTCCACAGACAATGCAAATGCGTTGGTATTTTGTTTCTTAAGTGACGATAGATGTCTATGAGCCACAGTTTCCATCTCTAAAAAAAAGAAAAACCCTTAATTTGGTAACAATTCATTTCATCTTAATTCTCAGGGGTAACAACAAAACTTCATTTCAATTTTTAATCGAGTATAGGATTAGGTGTCTATGGGTCACAGCATCCACTTATCATTGGGTGGACTGTGTCTTTGTTTGTTACTCTTACTTCTTTGTAAAAATGAGTATCTAATAACTTCTTTAAAGCTAAAATCTGAAACAAAACAACTGATACTAACGGCGACTTAGAATAACCTCTGAGATGCGAGACACCTTTATACTTTAACCAGAGCTCAACGTCCAACCGTGAACTTTTACATGTTGATGAAGTAAAATATCTTTAATTAGTTAATAGAAGAATTAGTGTAATGAATTCTCTTAAACAGAAAAAGAAACTTTTTTATTCAATATAGATTATAAATAATACTTATTGAAAGTCATTCCTTTGTTTAATTACCACTGGTTCGGAAAAACAGCCTCTGTTCTGGGAAAACCAGCAAGAAACCCAGCAAGATTTTTTTTATAACAGCTTACAATCATGTATGTTATACAATTAACCACAGAAAACAAATTAGAAATAGCTTGGTAGCGATCACCTCATTCCCAGGGGTTATTATCATCCATAAATTCCTTAATATTATAATAACCCTTTTTATACAAACTTTGTTTAAAAAGTTTTTGAACTTCGAGCAGGTGAGACTTGAATACCACGGCAAATGCCTTCCTAAATATTAAACACAAGACTAGAAATTTTTAACTCTGCTTCTTTGTATATATATATGTACCTAACATATTTTACTATTTAGCTATGATACTATTACAAAGGGTAGGGTATACGTGTGACAGATTTTAGGACTGTCCTTGTGGCTTATTAAGGCATGTTTTTTAGTTACTATACTATGACGTAATCTTGTGGGTAACTTGTGATGTAAACAAATAATTTATATTACAAGAGAAGTGTCTAAGGATATTAACCAAAAAACAATAAAGTGGGATTTACATGGAATCATTGCACACTTTGTTAAACATAAAACACTAACACTTATGTCTGTCTACACCCTCGAGCCATGTAAACTTGACAGGAAAAAAAAAACAAAAAAAACGTAGCAGCATTAGAGTGCAATATAATAATGCATTCCGCATTCTTATGAAACTGCCTAAGTACTGCAGTGCGTCGAACATGTTTGCCAACAACGGGGTGCCCGATCACTTCGCCGTTATTAGATCTCGGGTTGCAGCTTTTTGGTCCCGCATTCGTGATTCCGAGAACGAGATCTTCAGGGTGTGCCACGAGTTCCCAGAGAATCCTATACTAAAATATTAGCGTGCCGTGCATCGCGACAATAAATGCAAAAAGGTAGTACGAACTCCCTTTTGGGGCAATTTTAGTATTTTTAGTATTAACCTATGATTACAGTTTTAATTTTTTTTTATTTATGACAGAATTTTCTTTTATTTATTGTATCCTTATAATTATATTGTCATTTTGTTTTTAACATTTATAGATGTTTGAAATGGGTGTAAAAAAAGCCTGAAATAAATGACTATTATTATTATTATTATAACAAAATCCAAAAGAAACGATAAAAATTTAAATAAGCTTTGGATATACCCTTTCCCAAATTATAAAATTAGTTCGTCTAGCCCCCACATTATATCAATAAAATTTATTACCATCTACCAAATAATCTAAAAATCTTAAAAAACCGTTTGCAATTTAATAAAAATATGAGGGCTAATAATTTTGTTCACCAAATGTCGCTAGTTGACACTGAGGTAAAGTTTTTTGTTACACAATGTAATTTAAGTTGAGAAGTTGTTTTTTACACAAAACAATGCGTCAGTGGTTTGCTCTTTAATTTTTGCACATTTTAAATTTTTTTTTAATTTATCTACTTTTATGAATATCTGTGGTTTGGTTTATTTATTTTTAATGTTATTAATACAAAATATAGCTAATAATACAAAAAGAAACAATAACTTTTACATTTTCGAACAAATTAACTTCCCCGCTATGAAATCTGTCAAATATTATACCTCACTTTCTAGTGGCGCCGCCCTGGTGGCAGAAAAAGTCGTGGTTGCCCTCATTGAAAACATTCCTTATTAATGAATGTGATCATACTTAAAATGACAAAGAAAAAATACGACTACATTATACATATATCTAAAACTAATTTCTTAATAATATTGTATGTTTATGATATTTTATCATGTTAAAAAGTTAGCCCTCTGATGTTGCGACTTAAAGTAAAGGATTCATATATGCATAATATAAGCTATGTAAGACCGAAAGACGTCAATGACTTGAGAACAGATAATAAGTTTGTCCATGACATTTGCCTGATTAATACCAATTTTACAAGACTGGTTGATGTCTGAGTGTTTTAATTTATTTTATGATAGTACACCGTAACATATTCTTTTAATGTAGATTTATTGTAAACCTATTTATTTAAAAAAATCTTCACCAAAATTTGGAAAAAACATTTAACAAATTGCGTGGTTAAATTTTATTTGTGTTTGTATAAAGTTACAGTTATAGATCATTATCTCTATATACGTGCCCACCGCAGGTTATCGGTTATCAAATAGCGTCCGTGAATAGATAATAATTCGGAAGGCATACCTCTGATATTGTAATCTAAAAAAAACTATAACCTACGTAATGTTGAATCAATTGTCATAACTGATAATAATACGTAATATAATCAATCGATAAAGATTACATTAAATAATAATGAAATGCCGCGTGGTGATGCCGTCAGCAAAATAAGTTCAGCCTTGTGGGCTTCTTTATATGAACATTATTTTTTCAAATAATTTGATGTGCCAAAATATTTGCCACGATTTGCTTTGCGGGTCGACAACCGCAGTTATATTTTTTATTTTAGTAGTTATAGAAAGAAAGAAAGAAAAAAGAAAGAAAGATAGATAGAAAAAGAGAAACATTTATTCCACACGCCACAAACATCATAAGGCATTTAAATCTTAACATTTGTAGATACATCAATTAATAAAAGTATAACTAACATAAAAAAAAATGTGAATGAAAGTCAACTGGGCATAGCCAAATTAACTTTCTGCAATCTACAACGCTGATAGAAAACTTTAAAAATGAGTGGGTATACATCCTTTAATCCTTCCCTCTCCTTTTCACCATCGGACAACCACTTTGTTGTCGATATTCCACGCATCAGAACCAAACTGTTTGCTTCATCTTTTATAATGCGTACAGCAAAGAAGTGGAATAATTTGCCGGCGTCTGTGTCCGTCCGAATACAATCTGGGTGTCTTCAAGGCAAGTGAATAGGCTTTTGGTTGCTCAAAGACTGCGATTTACTATCTATGGCTTCATCACCACTTACCACCATGTGGGATTGTGGTCAAGCACTGTCTTATATAAGTAAAAAAACAATAGAATAGAATAGAATAATTTTTTATTCAATATAGATCACATATGTAATTCTTATTGAAAGGCCTTTTTTTACTTTACCACTGGTTCGAAAAAAAACCTCTGTCCTGGGAAGAACCAGCAAGAAACCCAGCGGGACTTTTTTTTAAAAGCATATTTTACATTAACGGTTGATACAAAATTTATTTTAGAAACATATCTCAATGGGGGAATAACATATCTCAAGTTTTAGTCACGTGACTTGAGGCAATGATTTCCGACATAAGGCTTTCAGCGCTCCCTTCTCCGATGCATGCAAATTTGTTCAGCACATTCGGTGGACAAAAATGTAGCTGATTAAAAATCTAATTCAATGACATGCCTTTCATTTTGTCAAAAAATAATACTACCCGTGCGGTTAAATAATTAATTGAAAATGGCTTCGCCTCTATTCGCCTCTCGCTCGCACACCGTCGCACACTCGCCGGTAAAGACTGCAAAAAATACGTTGCGATATATGCGTTTTCGTACGTTCTATAACTTCAGTCCAACTTGACTTTGGAATCAATGATAACAAAATGCCCCAAACAACAACAAAGATTAGTCCGTTGTTTCGTTAATTTGTGAGCTATGATGCGTTCTGAGAGTTTTCTTCATAATTGTTGTTGATTTTGTTTGTTCATATTTTTGTATAAAATATTTACATGTTATTGAAACATGAGTAACCATTTTTAAAATTATCGTTTTTTGTCTGTATGTCCATGCTAATTTTCGTAATGGCTGAACCGATCGTAATAAAACATCACGAACAACTAGAGAGAACGAGACGATACGAGATCTAGACTAAATTTTATCCGGAAAATTTTGATACTTTATTAAAGTACAAATATTGATAATATGAAATAAATGGTCTATAATGATTATCTTAAGTCGAAATATAGCCACACTAATATATCCCACCCAGGCAAAGCCAGAACGGGCCGCTAGTAATAAATGTTATTTTAAAATGAATGTATCTACTTGCGTTTACAATTCTTTTCAAATATTATTCCATTAAAAGAAAATTTCCAATTAACCGAATAATATAACGTTATAACTAAATTTAATAAATTGGTTAAATAAATATAACGATATACCGCTATTAACGGGTTTTCGTTATGGATACTGTGCATGTTGACGGTACGGACTCGATGAGTCCGCATTATTAATCCCATTCTTTATCCGTATGGACTGTATAAATAGGTATCGTAAAAATAAAACGTGGTCTCAAACATCAAAGGCGTCACGGCGATAAAAAAATTTAATCTCGATTAATTTATAGTATTTTTAAAATCCGTCTGATTAAAAATTTAATTGAGTATTTCATGTATGCGCATTTTTTTTTTGAACACAATATTCTATCTAAAAAAGTATAAATTCTCGCGCGACAAATCGTGTCTAATCTTTCACTTTTATAGGTTTTTATTAGCGTTAAAGATTGTAATATGTAAACTTGACTATAAAGGAACTGGATTTCATACTATTTTAGAATGTGATTATAACGTCATATCTCTGTCACTCTGTCAGTATGACTGACTGATGGATCTTATCGCATATGCGTTACTTCTGAAAAAATAGATTAAACACTATTGTACCTCCTAAATAGTAGACAGGCCTCTGTCTTCGAAAATGTCGCCTTGGCTTATCTCGGCCATAAGTACACCCTTATCAACTACGCTACATGTTTTGGGGCCGATTACTTAGTCTTTCTAGTGGGTATCTATCTTAGTCCCCAGTGGTCACACACCTCTTGATTGTTTATGACAAATACTGATTCATATTTTCTTTTAATCTATCGTCTTTTAATTCATAACAATATAAAGTAAATCTTTTTTCATAGAATAAGGATGACAAACGAGCACACACTCCAACTGATATTAAGAATCAAAGCGAATGCGTTGTCACCCTTGAGAACTAATAAAGAATGCCTCGTTTCCTGTAAAGATAGTCTCCAGTTTTCTACACGCACCATACGAAACACTGCAGCATTAACCGCTATTTAACCCTGCTATTCTGTGAGAGAGTGGTCCTTCTCCGGTCGAGCCGACCCGTTTGCGCTACAACCATAATATAGGTGCAGCACTGTTCTATGTTGTTATCTTTCTTGGCATAGATTTAATTTTTCGAATCTGTGGTAAATTATGATGTTCATAAAAGACGTGAATAAATTATTAGATTTATTATTACAAGTAAAGTTAATTTTACTGTAGAAAATGTCGTTATATTTTATGACTAACGAGAATTTTCCAAATAAAAAAAAATTATCATTATGGTAGCTGTTTAAATTTTGTAATCAATTCAAACAAGGGTATTTTACGACTGTCGTAAATGAGATCATACCGCCAACTATCGGAAGCCAAAACATTTCTCATAGTTGCTTATTACGGCACCCACGGGACGAAATGGGATAACGCATAAACTCTGACCTTCTAAGATGGAATACCTCCAAGCCTGTAAACATAGTGACTATCACACTCTTTTAATCAAAACATAAATATCTACACTGTTACTTAGAGGTAAAGATAGATAGGAAAAAAGCTCTACAACCTAGTAAAGACTTATTTATTAACAAAACATACATTACAAAACAGTTTAATAGGTGTCCGTATTCTTGTTAAGAAATCGAAAAGAGTAATAATTAGTTTTGATAATATCATCTGTGTTTTCACAGCCGTATCGTCTACAATGATCTCAATTCAATAACGCCGGAGCAGTACTTCAAGCAAGTTACACGCAGGATCGCCGAAATCAAAGCGGTCTCGGTAAGCAACATTCCTCTCTTTTACTCCTTATACATTCCTCTATAACCTGTCCCGCTTTAATACGATATTGTATCGCAAATTCTTACAGGAGCCGCGTTCGCGATGCGGTGTTTGTTGAAATGTATGTTTAGTACTTTAGATTCTGTGTTGTTAGTTTTAAGAGTTATTTTACGGAAACATCACTAACTTAAAGCTATGTATTTTTCTCTTTCTTTCAATGCTCAAAAGGAGGAGGTAAATATAATAAGAGAGCCTTTCCGATTAATAAACTTTGTGGGAGGCTTTTTGGTAAGTACAAAGGTGAAAGGTTATGATGTTTCTACGTTTTCTTTATCCTATTATGGGGTGAGATTTTGATTCAGCGTTACCACCAAAAGCAAAAGGAATTGTATTTATGACTATAGAATATTTAGAATTGTATATATGATATATACATATAGGTCGTTCGCGATTGACCGAATGAAATGACCCGGGTCGTAAATACTTCCCGAACATTTACGATAAGATTTATTTCATTCAATCTCTGCTAACATTTGAGTATACTGTGCGTGATTTAAATTATGCGATAGATACAACAAAAAGCGAACGAGTACATGTTATTGTAAATAAATAAAAATCTACCTTGTAGTAAAGATGTTAAGGTCTATATTTGCTAAGAGCTATACCTATTCACATACATAATTGTATTCTCTTTAAGCTCTACTGCCTGAATGTTGTATTAGTAATATAGTACTGAGTATATTCGAAGATTTATAAAATATAATTATTTTTTATTTGTTAATATTATAAAATATGAATCAATAATTAAAATACTAAGTATAAATAATCATAGTTATTTTAGACTATCATTTAATCTTTGTAGTCAGTTATATTACTATATAAAATATTGTGTTTTTGTTCACTTGATTTGAGACCTTTATTATTTGACCTACTGATTGGTTTTACTATGATCTATGTGCTTGGTTCGTCAGTGAATCGTATAGTTAGGGACCTAATTTTCCCGCGCGATTCTATTAATCGATTGAATGGGTGGAACCGGGTCATTTTCTCAACAGGTCGGTATTTATCGGGATCTCTTAAATTGTACCGTTGACACAGATATCTGCTTATGACAAATTGATTAATAATTTGAGTTAGTAAAAATAATCAAACATTTTTATATACAAAAGTGTATTGTCGTGACATATACTTTCTAATTTTATTCAAAGTAGTAAGTCAAGAGACAAGATTGACAGTAAATGGCTCCTCTCGGTTGAAATTTATGTCAAACTAGTCGAGAATTACTAAGATGTAAAGATAAATTCATTAAGAACTTGTGAACAACTTAAAATTTTGCAACATTTAAATTTTTTTAACTTCAATATATATCTGCAAAATTTCACCCCGAGCTATATTTATTTTTAGTTTTGAATACTTTCTCATCTATAAGTCCGATACAGTTTTTGTATTTTACATACGTATTATGTTATAGAAATAAAACAATAAAAAAATAAAATTTCGCCCTAATTCATTTACCAAACAAAATCTATTTTCATTTGGACGTTGTTCAATCTCCATACGTATGTAAATCCTTCATACTACAACATTTATTTATCCCGACTTTTCTTTCGTCTTTCTTTCTTACTTGTAGCAACTCCTTTTCTCTTAGCACACACAGACTGGCAGTTTAGTTATTATGTTTGCCACATATGCGCTGATACAATTGAATTACATTAATAATTACAACATGATCATAACATAAACATACAATTATTTTAAGTGAAGTTTAGTGCTTTAAAACTCGAGAGAACGAAAATGTACTTGATTATGTACATAATTTTTTTTGATAAGACTGAAGGCTGTTTTTGTGATTATACGTGAACTTTTCCACCGTAGATATTTCTTCAAAAAACCAACAATCATAGAGATAATATGTATCATTTTTAACAATCCACCTGATGATCCACAATTCTCAGAGGTGACACAACAAGTAGCAGTCTTGGTTTGAAGTTGACTGCAGGTGGACTGTACATTCGTTTATCTCTTCTGTTTTATAAAAAAAGTAGCTGTTGCAGTCTGCCTGAAAAGAACTTTAAATAAATAAGGGACGCTTTGTCATCCCTGTGGGTTAAGTTTGAATTTCTCACAGCTTGTTTACGTCAAGGGCTGATTTTTCTATCCTCAGATAAAATTTATTCAAAATATCAAATTTACAGCTGATGTATGAATTAAATTGTTCAATTGTGTCACTTTTATATTCAATTAGATTATAATTTATTTAATGGATAGGTAACTTTTACCTCATGATTGAAAATCAGCTCTATGTCAATCTGGAACACCACAATGGCGGTTGCTTAATTTAGTAGTGACAGAAAGAGGTAAAGGAGTGGTTACCATAATGCTGAGCTGAAAAGATGTACCCTCTCCACTAAGCTTCATTATATTAAAACTATACAAACATCAATGCATAAACCAAATCTCACGTTCTCTCCAGGTTTATTGCACTACATAAAATATTCATAATTTTAAATTGCCTGCTAGTGGACGCTTCTCTCAGCCAATATAAATGCACGCTATTTACACGGATTTACATAAACGTCAAAATCATGCTGAAGATCCTCTTTCAGGTAGTCCCTACTGTAAGTTATAGTCGCTGGTAAATATGAGATTGTATCCTTGTTCCAGAGTCCAGAAGAGCGAAGCGTCCTCATACAAATTCTGGAGAGCACGTACAGATTCACGCTTGGTTCCATCGCTGGTGGTAAGTATTATTATGCCAGTAGATAACATTTCATCATCATTGTAAGTCCAAAAACAGGCCACCGCTAGGACTAGGCCTCCCCCAAGTTGGAATAATTTGCTGTAAATTCCATCCAATTAGCAGATGGAATGACGAATACAGAATCAGACTGCCTCATACTTTAGACTTATTTATATTATTCTGCAGCCTACTCTGAAAAATGTCTTGTACCTAGTTTCAATTGGTATATGACCTTCTATCCTCCAAATATAGAAAAGGTTTCTCTTAAACACCTGTACCCTGTCGCCGCTCTGGGTGTTTTACATCTAATATATTATACACGTCTTATTTTTTATTTTATTTTATAGGAATGGGGTGACCGACAACCACATAGTCCACCATGCTAAGTGGATGGTGTGGCCCATAGACATCTACAGATGCGTTGTCACGCCTGAGGACTAAGATGCCTCGTTTCCAATAAAAAGGATCTCCGGTTCTCAACAATCACCATACGAAACACAGCAGCGTTAAGCTGCCATTTTACGCTGGTATTCTGTGAGAGCGTGGTCCTTCCCCGGTCGAGCTGACCCATCCGTACTACAACCATAATATATCTGCAGCGTGTCCCTACTACGTAAAACCACGTGATGGTAATAACGTCATCTATCGGAGGCCACAAGGTCCTTCTGGTATTTCCCATGGTCTCTTACGACACCCTACCGTTGTCCATTATAGTGCCATGTGGTGGTTTAGCCTTTTCCATAGTCTTCTTTCACGACACCCACAGGACTTCGTGTATCGAACATTATTTATTATTTACTGCTTATTCCCTTTTACATATTTATAACTTTATTACCGCTATAAATTAGATGCAGTATGAATTGGTCAACTCGACTTAGGACCACATACAAAAATAACGTTAAATAGCAGCATAATGCTCTGCTCACATTTCGTGAAGGGAAACAGATAATATTTTTACTTATTTCGTGGCATTCCATTTTAGTTCTCAAGGCTGAAAACGCATTGGCATTTTGATTCTTTTGATATAATACTGTGGGCAACAAATAGTAAGACTGTTCATAATTTTAAAATTCTTTATTTATTTTGTCAAATCTATTTCGTCCCCCTCAAAGTTATCCGAGACCCCCCCCCCCACCCCCCCGCCGGAATACACTTATGCCAACGTTTTTTCCAATCCTCGTAACAGTTGTTAAAGTCAATTTCCGGAATAGCCTTCAATGCGCGTAGCGCGGTCGCTTGAGTATGCTGAACAGCCAGAAGTCGCACGGAGCTAAATAAGGTCAATACGGTGGTTGTGGAAAGATATTGGTTGAATTTTTGGCGAAAAACTCACGAAGAATCAATGCAGTATGTGACGGTGCATTATCGTGGTGCAAAAACCAAGAGTTGTCGGCCCATAATTCCGACCTCTTTTTACGAATAGCTTCGCGCAAACGACGCATAACATTCACATAGTATTCCTTGTTGACAGCTTGGCCGGTTGGAAGGAATTCGGAGTGCACCACACCTCGATGATCGAAGAAAACTGTCAACACATAACCTTGATTTTTGAATTGTTTTGACGTGGTTTTTTCGGCTTCGGCTCACCTTTGGCACGATATTCGGCCGATTGGTCGTCTGTTTCCGGATCGTAAGCGTAGATCCAAGAGTCGTCGCCAGTTAGGTATAATACGTTTCATGACATCCTGGTAGTCGGAAAGCATTGTTTCACAGACGTCAACGCGACGCTGTTTTTCTAGAAAATTGAGTGATTTTGGAACCAATCGTGCATTCACTTTTCTTAGGCCCAAATGATCTTTTAAAATGGTTTTCACTGATCCTTCCGATATTCCGACGCTATCAGTAAGGTCTTTTGATTGATTTTGATTCCGCACACAAAATTTAATGGAACTTCTTTATTGAATAATTTCACTCATTGTAAAAATCGCCGAATGCACTTTTTGTACTTCAGAAAGACAAGCGTATATGATTACTTTGATGTGATATTTGGCACAGATGTCATTGACAGTCATACCAACGTAGAAAAAAAATTCGACGGATGGATTTCCGCGCGAAATATAAATTAAAAAGTCTTATAATTTTTTGCCCACGGTAGTATATCGTTTTCTATCGGCCACTTAATATCAGGGTGCTGCATGCTTGTTCGTCAACCTTAACTTGTATAAAAAAAACGAAAACAGTCTCGGCACTTGTATTTTTAGCTGACGAACAGTTAGTAAAAATGTACATTATTATTATTATTTTAGTAACGGTTAATGTGGTGTCATTTAAGAGTTTTTAAAATCATCAACAACCATTTATCTTATATTTTACATTAAAAAAAAAAACAATCTCCAAGTTTTTGGTATAAAATAAAAAATAGTTCACTTCTGGCATTGCTCTCTATCTGTTCTTAATGGTACATCACAATCAGTGTAAATAAATATTTTTTTATATAGGATAAGGGTGACAAACGAGCACACAGTCCACCTGATGGTAAGTGGTTGCTGCGGCCCATAGACATCTACATCTATCTTCTATTACAAATCAAAATGTAGATGCGTTGTCACCCGTGAGGACTAAGATGGAATGCCTTATTTCCAGTAAAAAGGGCCTCCGGCCACCTGCACTCACCAAGCGAAACGCAGAGGTAAATCTCTACTTCACGCTGGTTTTCTGTGAGGTCGTGGTACCACCCCGGTTCGAGCCGGCCCATCCGTGCGACAGCAAAAGCTACCGCGTGGCTCTACCATTGTTGAAATATAATCATTACTTTTAATTTTGCACCTGAACCTATTTTGTTATTCAACTGTTGCATAACTAAAGATATAAACATCTTATCTTGCAGCCGTCGGTGCATCAGCAGTGTATCCTATAGACTTGGTGAAGACACGTATGCAGAACCAACGCACGGGCTCGTTCATTGGCGAGGTGGCGTACAGGAACTCATGGGACTGCTTCAAGAAGGTCATCAGGCACGAGGGTATCTTCGGCCTCTACAGGGGTCTAGTGCCACAACTGATCGGTGTCGCGCCGGAGAAAGCCATTAAGCTCACGGTAAGTTTTATTTTGATAGAGCGCTTAAACCGTGTAGTGGCGGTGTAAGAATATCCACTATATCGTTCCGTGGGTGTCGTAAAGGGCGACACAGGTAAACAAACCAGGAGGTGGACAGCAGTATATTCCTCAAAACTACTAGAAAATAAAAACCTGCGGTCGCAAACCCCACAATAAGTAGCGGCACGAAAGACTAGCGGTGACAGTTATTGAGCTTAAGTCGCGCTGATTGGCTTATTGTGCGTAAGTCGCGCTGATTGGCTCATGCGTATCGATCGCACGCGCTGATTGGCTCTCCAGTCGCATTCGTGCAATTCAATTCGTGCGCGTCCCATCCACATTTCGTTCAGCGCGTGCGAAGAAGAAGCAACTGAGGGAAATGAAACTGAATGAGATGGGCAATAGCATCTTACTGTTACTGTAAAAGCTAGAACTACGGTAAATTCTAAGATTTTGCAGTAAAACCTAAGATTTACCAAGTCCATAAGGTAAAAGCACAGAATAAATAATAGTACTGCGTACAGAAGTTGCACTCTTTTGATGTTGACTACTTGCCGACGTTTTAATAGCCTACATAGTTATTATTAATCAGATAAATCGCGCACGCAAGCTAAATAAAACTATCGCTGCACGCGACTGTTTGAATTGCTTTGCATCTTTTCTCCTTACTACGTCACAACGGACTTTCCGTGGTTGCTAAGGGCTGTTAATAAAAGTTAAAAAAATACATTGTGAAATGGTAAGTTACTTACGTAAAGTACCTATGCTGACTATAATCGACCATATTATCTACTATGTGAGTTCTGTGATGCCCAACGCATGCAACTTGCAAAGGCCATTCGTCGGGAATCGGGATGCTTGGTTCGTATAGGTAGATAGCGTAAACAACCAATAAACCCGAAATACGATTTCCAACAGAAATATGATCGTAATCTACATAGTTGACAATCTTGTACTTAAACAAAGTTTTAATTTCAGTATTTTGTGCTATAATAACTTAAAATATTTTAATTACAATGACGAGTATAGGTATGTAAGTAGGTACTTGGGTAGTGAAGTAAATTTCGACTAAGTTTTGTAATAAAGTACTAATGTATTACTTCTGTAGTTAAATTATTATTTAATTATTTTTTCGCTTTAATCTAACTTTTATCTAACAAAAAAGTGAAATAAATTTACATTTCATTATCGTTCGGTACCTCAAAAAATGATATATCTGAATCCTTTTAGCATCCATCCCCGCAACAATTATAGTAGGAACGACGTTTTGGCATTATAATTTATCAAATAGATAGGTAATATACAAATATTATAATATTCTTAAATTACGTTTAAAAAATTTCAACTATTTTATCGTACAATTAAATATACTAAACACTAAACAAAAACAATTTGACGAGTATTTAAACAAGTATTTACAGAAAATTATTTACGAAAACAGCGTTAAAAAACTTTAATATTCAATCGTATAGAGCGCGCTAGCCCCGACTGCGATCTACCCCTGGGGCAGCTCGCGATTGTAGGTAATTATTTCACGCAGGTAGCAAGAGTGACAGAGGCCTGGTAAAAGTCCGAAGTGTTCTGTGGTAATCGTTTATTTCGGACTTTTATAAGCATTCACTCTGTAAATCTTAGATTTTACCGCTAAGACACGGTAAATGTTGAAAATTAGTCATGTTTAGACGTGTTCGGCGCACTATCGTACTTGCGGACAGTGTGCAGCCCTCCCCGCTACCTGTGTCACCCTCTGTTTTTATTTTGAGACTGCAACTGCTCCGGCGCTGCGGGAAGAGCAGCCTCCGCCTGCTGTAACAAATCGTTACTACGTTACGATTTGTTACAGCAGGCGGAGGCTGCTCCCCCTACGCACCTCCGGCTCTATAAAAACATTCTAGGGGTAGGACAGATTCGTACCAGGTGGAGTCGGGGTCAATCAATTCTGTTCTTTGACATAATTTATAAATCAATTTTATACACATATTGTATTGCTTAAATTAATTCTTCGAAAACATCTTTATGCGCTATTTTTATTTTTTTCGCCAAGAATATTCAATGAGCCAGTCTGTGCAAAATATCGATTTTTAGAAATCGATTTGTTGTGAATCGATACATCATCTCTTTATTTCTATATTCTACTTTCAAAAAACAAGCCTCTTTATTTTTCTATATTCTACTTTCAGAAATCACCATAAAAATGTTTTAAAATTATGCAGGTAATATGATTCAATGTTTAATAAATACTGTTTACTTATATAAATATATTGTTTCGTTTCCAAAACCAACACTTACTGGTAGTCTAGGATGTACCAAACTCTAACGGTAAAAGCAAGAAAAATCGTCGCATTTTATATCAATCCTTACATTTACCAGCTCAAGTTGGTAAATCCTAGGATTTAAAAGTAAAACCTAAGATTCACCAAAATTTGGGCTTTTACATTAACATTACTAACAACGGGGGGAGGGCTATGTTCAGCAGTGGACTTTGATAGATTGCAATGATGATGATTTATAAATCATACCGTAAATTCTGGTAAGACTGATTGATTTCAACGCTATACTTACGTGCCGCGACTTGTACCAAGCATGACAACTATGGCAAGTATGCCCTTTATGAGGCAATCTTTGGTGATGCCTACGTTCCAGTAATGATAAAGATAGCGTTTATTAATATTGAATTAAAAATCATCATAATTTATCTGAAAAGAAATTATTGCTGCATTCAACCATATATATATTGTTGTTGTTTTGCTTGTTTGTTATATTCTAATAATGTTCAGGCTCGAAATGGTTTATCTGTTTGTATATTTGATAGGTAATTAACAATTAAACTGTTCCACTTATCGAAACATAATTTACTAAGGTTGTATAACATGACTTTTGTACCAACTTGGTTTTTATTTCACCCTCTAAATAAACCTAAGAATTCACACGGACAATGACAATGCAATGCAATAAAAAAAAATGATGTCACAACATTGTGTAGTTGACCAACTTCACTCAGTTAAGTAAGCTAATCAAACAAACAAAAGCAGAAAAATAAATGTGATATACGACACAACGATGCGATACAACGCGACAACTTTGCACTGATTATTCGTACACGATAACTTTACATAATGTAGCTTATATAGATGAATAAAAAGTTTTTTTTAAATTACCTAACAATCAATAATATAATGTATCAATCAATTACTGTATCATTGTTTCTATAGCATACTACTAGCTGGTACCCGGCGCGTTGCTGCGCGCAGAAGAAATAATTGTGGAAATATCGTTTTAAATTTGAAGAGTAATTCTGTTTAATTAGGAATGATACTATCATAGGCCTCGCCCAAAGAATGCCACAAAGCACTATGATACTATATTCATTGAAATTGAATGATATATGACTTTCAAATAAATTTATCGGTACTATACGTGCGCCACCTTTTGCAAGTTTATTGTACCTTTGCGCAGGTGCAAGCAATAAGTTGACCAAGTTTTAACGCAATTTGATGAACATAAAATACGAACAAATAAATATTAATTTTTATATTAATATATATAAAAATTAATATTTATTTGTCGTTGACTTTATACTAATATATAAAGTCGACGACAATTATCATTAGATAATTGTCGTCGACTTTTACTGGGGTAAACGAAAGTGCGAAAGCTTCATACATGGGTCTTATAACGTACGCAGGGTTCACTTATAGTAGCAGACAGAGAAAGTAATAATAAATAATAAGGTCCTCATGACCGAATTTCAGGCACGGCATTCACGACCACTTGACCAAAGAGGCAGTCACGACGAGTGTTTTTTTTTTAATAACTGGCTTTACGGCTCTGGTTTCTAGCCCTTCTGAGCATGACGAGTGTACAGTCATGAGTGAACAGAGAATATAACGCGATATTTAGTACTGGCAACGCGAGCATCGTGTTATTTTCTCTGTCTGCTATTGTAGATAAACCCTGCACTTGTGAGTGTGAGACGCTTATATGAAGCTTCCGCACCCTTGTTCACTCTGCTGTTATTCTGTGCACATGTGTGCATAAATAGTTAATATTTTTATTGTATTACCCTATTTAAATCCAGGCATATGTTCAGCAGTGGACTTTTATAGGCTGTCAGCTTATAATGCTAATATTTTATTTTGCAGGTAAATGACCTCGTCCGCGACAAAATGATGGATAAAAAGGGCAATATTCCACTATATGCCGAAATTATTGCCGGAGGTTGTGTAAGTTATTTTATTATCTATTTTTTTTATCAACAGTTAGTTAATGTGATAAAGTAAGTTAATGGCGGTGTAAGAAAATCCACCACACTATATCATCCCGTGACTGTCTTAAAAAGCGACAGAGTGAAACGAAACAGGAGATAGCAGCATCTTCCTGATAACAATTAAATACAGTAAAACCTCTGCGGTAGCTAACACGCCTGGCAAGCGTGGCAACTATGGCAAATCATAAATACATACAAATATAAACACACACGCCTGTCACAAACTACCATAATCTCCATTACTGGGCACTGAAAGTGGACAAAAATAAAAAATTAAAACTTAAAGAAACAGCGTCACAGCGCAGATTTTCTTTGAATGTGTGGATGGGTATTGTAAATGACAAACTTATTGGGCCTTATTTTATGCTACAAAATGTAAACAGGGAAATTTAGGAAAATTTTTGCGAAATGATTTGAAAAACTTCTTAGATGTTCCAGAAGAAATCGAAAGTAATTTGATTTATCAGCATGACGGCTGTCCAGCTCATTTCCGGTTATCTGTACAAAAGTGGCTAAATAGCTAATAGCCAAACAGGTCCACATTGCATTCCAGACATTGGGAGGGGAGGGCGAATTCCGTGGCCTGCGCGAAGTCCTGATCTGACGCCACTAGACTTCTAAATTTGGGGTCACATGAAGGAATTAGTCTACGTGACCCCAGTGAATTCTCTTGAAGAACTTCGAAGGCGTATCTTAAATGCGGCAGAGCAGATTAGTACTACAATATCTTCCAAAATAACGAAAAGCGAATTTAAAAATTGTCGTCACAGTTAAAAGTTGTCAAAAATTGGTGCCGCAACGAATTGGTAAAGCAACAAAAGCAGCTACAAAAGCATTCACGTGCTGTTGTCGTTTTGGTTTCCGTCGTCCAACCATCCAGTAATAAAACTTTTGCAAAACAGAACGATATATCGATGTTAGGAAAATGCTGCTGCCCATCTCTTGATTTGTTTCCCTCTGTCGCTTCTTACGACACCCACGGGATGGTATGGGGTAGTGGATATTCTTAGACCGCCACTACACTACTCGAAACAGGTGATGCGTGGCAGCGTCTTCCTGATAATAAATCCAATTAATAATAAAAAACTGTGTGGCAACGATACCAAAACCCTCCTATGAGGCAATCTAATGGCCTATGTTCAGCAATACACTTTTATAGGCTGTAATAAATGGTTGGATGGATATATCGATGCTGGTTAAAAATATCGATACGATATCATCATCATCATCATCATCATCATCATCATCATTATTACAGCCCTTCACAAGTCCACTGCTGAACATAGGCCTCCTCCAAGGAATGCCACAAAGCACGGTCCTGAGTCACCTGCGTCCATCGACTTCGGGAAATTACGGCACATCTTCTCGTCAGGTATACCTCAAAACTTGAAAACGAGACTGTACAACCAGTGCGTGTTGCCAGTGATGACTTATGGAACTGAGACGTGGTCCTTCACTGCTGGCCGGATGAGAAAGCTCAAGGTCGCTCAGCGAGCTATGGAGAAGGCTATGCTCGGAGTTTCTCTACGTGATAAACTTAGAAATGAGGATATTCGCAGTTGAACCAGAGTGACCAACATAGCCCAACGGATTAGTAAGCTGAAGTGGCAATGGGCCGGCCATATAGCTCGAAGAACCGACAACCGATCGATGGGGAATAAAGGTTCTCGAGTCGATATGATATATATCAATTTTTTTTCTCTTGCTCTTCAATAGCCGGGCGAACTAATAACATTAGTTTCTAAACATGTAGGCTAGGTATGGGAACCATCAATTCAGTCTAAATCCCTAGGTCAGAATTAAATAAAATACACATAAATGTTTGTAGGAAAATATTATATTAACAATTGCTGTATTTGTTTAATGGTACCTAAATTAGTACAAAGATAAATATTTTCATTTATGTTTATTTTTGTATTGGTATTTTTGCATAATGTACCATTCGTACTGTCCCATTTCGCTGTCATGGACGTTGGACATCAATATAATTTACTAAAAATGAAATTACTTATTCATAACAACTTATACCTACCTAGCAGGAGCGTAGCTACCGCCGTATCAGCCGTATCAATGATACGGGGCCCCCGCGCTACAGGGGCCTCGAGAGTGTATAAGCAAAAATTCTAAGCACTTCTATGCGACAGGAAAGGCTATCAGACTTGTCGCTATTGTCTATAGAGGCAGAAAATTTAGAAAAACTGAAATCTTCTTCAGCTATGAATGATAATAAATAAGTTCGCAGAACAAAATGCAAGAATAGTTTGGAAAATCCAGAAGTGCACGCCTTATGAGCGTTTCATTTAATTTTCATGAATAAAGTAAATTGTATTCCTGACTTTTAAAATATATTATTTACGTGTTTTAAATTTAGCGCTCTATTATTTTAACAGGTAGTGTCACCTACAGTGAAAAAATAATGATGTTTTCTAAAATAAGTCGATTACACAAACTTTTTTACGTGGTAGAGCCTTGCTGCAGCTATATTAGTAGTATAGTTGTAGCACGAATGGGTCGGATCGACCGGGGAAGGACCACGGTCTCGCAGAATACCAGCGTAAAATGGCACTTTGACACTGCTGTTTCGTATGGTGAGTGTAGAGAACCGGAGACCATTTTTACTGGAAAAGAGGCATTCCATCTTAGTCTCACGGGTAACGACGCATCTGCATTTTGATTCTTTATTGAGGATAAATGTAGATGTCTATGGGTCACAGCAACCACTTACCATCAGGTGGACTGTGTGCTCGTTTGTTACCCTTATTCTAAAAAAAAATATTATAATATCGATATAGGCTGTTTGGTACATGTGTCCTTTGTCTACCAAGAACTAAAAAAATTATCGCCTTTATATTTTTAATAGCAATAAAACTTATAAACTTTAAAATCATTTTACTAACAAACAACGCGTTCTAGGCTATTGATATGAAATAGGGTACCAGTTGATGTAATTCTGAAGCTAATAAAAAACCCGGTCTCTATACGTCAATTATTTCGAGAGTTATCGTGACCACATACAAAATCAACATCCTGACATCCACGTAAATTTTATTTCAAAGTAGCAATGTAAAATGATTTTGTAGAAAATATAAGATGGATTCATTGGAGTGTTTTCTTGTTACGGCTACTCATATTATCGTATACGCATTATTCTATGGTATAAGTGCAATATGGTTATGATAGAGACATTTTAAGAACACTAAATCGCTTGACCTTGGCGTGTCGACAGTAAAGCACTACCTAATAACGCTTTGCGTTATGAGGCGTGCCAAAGTGTATATTTGATTTGAATTGTTTGGCTAGTTTAGTTCCTAGGAGTATTGCAAGCGTCTTTGTTCCCTTTGGGAAAAATCTTTACTCTCCATTTGGGCCCCCCCCCCCCCCCCCCAATAATTTTTGATACGGGGCCCGTCTAAGACACGCTACGCCACTGCTACCTAGGTAACTTTTATCCTCCTACCTGCCTTTAATCTACCTTGTTACGGTACACTGACTAATCGCCTAGGTTAGGTAAAATTCTTATATTTCAGAAATAATTATTAGGAAGGTACTCATAACATGGCCGCGTTGCTTAGGTAAGGAAGGTAATAAAAAATCGACTACTGAAATAAAACCTAATGCATATATAAAGTCACGTCGTTCTAATGTTCCAAGTAGTCATCCAACTTTATCAACGTGACAAAGTCGCGATGATTTTTGGTAACCGGAACTATGGTCATCATTATTTAAAAATAACCCCAAGTCTAGTCGCCGCCTCTTATAAGACCCACGGGATGGTATGGATATTCATACACCGCCATTACACGGTAATTGATAACTTCTCAATACATTTTATTTACGGACGTATTGCAATCGTCGTTTCTCTTGCACTCACTTAACCTTCATACAAATAATGCGATATTATAATTGTTGATATTTTTTTTATTTTTGGATAAGAACATAGTAATGATTCTTAAGTTGCATTTACCTTCATTTAAAAAAAAATGTCTTTGGCCTGACCTACTATACCATAATCATGACCATAGATCTGACTAAGTTGGTGATGGTTAATGTCGACGCTTGAGCGGTGATGTTATTATTAATTATTTAATAGACAGCAGTTTACTTACATTTAGGTTAGTTATAACATCGCATTGGTTAACATAACTGTAATGATGTTATAATTATGTAATAAATAATTAAACATAGTATTGTGCCATACGTGCCTTTTTTGACATATTCTGACTTTCCACAATAGAATGTAGAGCCCCATTTATGGCAAATCTACGAATAGTAATGTCCTCCAGAATGAATTTCGATACGGCGGCCATTCTCAACGCAGACCAGCCATCTGCGCGAAACATTGGCTGCCAATTTGAATTTAAAAGATAAAAAGAACAGAATATTTGCGATTTTTTTAAATTCATTTTTCTTCGCCTATATTACTTCTGAACCTTCTCTGCAAATTTGGCCGGTTATTGCAAAATAACCCTTTATATTATATTGAATTTAATTACTAACCGACTAAAAAAGGAGGAGGTTCTGCATTAGGATGTTTTTTATGTATGTTCGGGCATAACTCCGTCATATTTAGACGGATTTGTAAAATTTACAAAGATTTGATGTTGAGTTTCGGAGACAGACAACGGATCTCTTCAATAAATGCCAAATCAACGGCAATTGCTGCTATCGCATATCTATGCATTGTTTACGCAATCACACAACATAACATTACGTCTGTACCCTCTAAAGGGTAACGCAGATGTATTCAGTATACCACAGTACACCCTCATTTCTGTCAAAGTTGTTATATTGACTTTTGACTTATGTTTTGATTGTATTGACTCTTGTTTTTGTCCACAGGCCGGTGGTTCCCAAGTGGTGTTCACAAATCCCTTGGAGATAGTGAAGATTCGTCTGCAAGTCGCCGGTGAGATTGCGGGCGGGGGCAAAGTCCGGGCCTGGTCAGTGGTCAAGGACCTGGGTCTCTTCGGTCTGTACAAAGGGGCTAAAGCTTGTCTATTGCGGGATGTGCCCTTCAGTGCCATATACTTCCCGGCATATGCTCATGTTAAGGTGAGAGTTTGCTATAAACATCATTGGCTCTCTCACATATTACATATATTACGAAGAATCACCCGTATCACCATGCTTGACGGATGCACTGTTGATGTTTGTCAGACACTGAACAGCTTAAATGCTAGCAGTTTTTACGTGGTAGAGCCATGCCGCAGCTATATTAGTAGTATAGTTGTAGCACGAATGGGTCGGCTCGACCGGGGAAGGACCACGCTCTCACAATACCAGCGTAAAATAGCAGCTTAACACTGGTGTGTTTCGTGTGGTGAGTCTAAAGAACTGGAGACCCATTTTACTGAAAAAGAGGCATTCCATCTTACTCATCACATTTTGTTTCTTTATTGAGGTTAAATAATAAATAATAAAACAAGCACACAGTCCATCTGATGGTAAGTGAATGCTGTGGCCCATAAACATCTACATTTCACGCACATATAGTACCGATTAATTTATTTGAAAGTTATGTATCATTCAACTTCAATGAATGTATTATCATTCCTAATTAATCAATATAACGCTTACTTTAAAATGATATTTCGACAAGAATTTCTTCTGTAGCAGGAACGCGCCGGGTATCAGCTAGTTCTATATAAAAACTGTCTGAACAGTTCTTTTGAGCACTCTCCGTGATATATGTTATAAAAGATATCAGTATCTTATATAATTCTTTAAAAAAAAAGAGTACTTGCTGGATTGCTTTGAACCATTTGAGGCCCAGTTATTAGGAAAATCAAACGCATTAGCATGCAGTGTTGTTGTTTGGGGTGAAGTTTTTACTAACGGCAGTTTGCGGACAATTCGTTCAAAAAAGTCAAACCTAGTGGTGATAGGGACAACATTACAAGGTTCAGGGGGCTTGGGTCTTCGCTTGTTCTGCATGGTGAATAAAGCGAACATATCCAAGAAATGTCTTTCCTAATAGTATACCCTCGTAAATTGTTGCAGGTTTTTTTTAAACAGGCTTAAGATTTTAGGTTTCCAGAGTTTTGGCTTAAGAACTAGAACTACGGAATCGTATGATTGCCGCCAAACCGTAACTAACAAAAAGTTTTTTGGTATGCCTCCTAAAGACTGTCATATCATTGTCCCGAGCCACCTGCTAGGTACAAGACAGTAGAACATTCTAGAAGTGGATTGATATCCATTTCTAGAATGTCTTATACCTGGTAAGATTGTCACTCTATCTAGTTGAGATTACTCTATTTACATCTACTGCACCTGCAACAAGACTGCCTTTATGGTAATTTGCTGAAATGAAACTAAATTAATAATTTTAAACCACACGAGGGCCCCCCCCGTCCTCCCCCCCCCCCCCCCCACCTTTTCTTATATATGCGATGAAATCCGTAAAAACTAGTTTCATTTAAATATGTAGTGTTCGCGTAACCAGACTGCCTTTGCTGCCAATCGAGAAATTTTTCTTAGATTCTGTTGGAGTGTTAGTGTAGTAATTTCTTAAATCCGCTGGTTTCCGTAAACCAGTGACAGTGATAAATATTGTGTTTTGTTTCAGGCTAAATTTGCCGATGAGAACGGATACAACCATCCTTTGACCTTGCTAGCGGCTGGTGCGATCGCTGGTATCCCAGCGGCTTCCCTCGTCACGCCGGCCGATGTGATAAAGACGCGTTTGCAGGTAACATGATCACTTATGTACTTGACGTGCTTAGTGTTTAGATCGTATAATGTTTTGAGACAATTTTTGTTTGTAATTTGACATTATTTGTAAATTAAGAAATTTTTATTATTTGGCATATTTTGTAGTATTCTCGTCTGGTTTGGATATATATAAATAAATTAAAATATATTAATAATACAAATACGATAAAATAAAATAAATGTTGAATTTAATATATATTATATACAATAAAGTAAAATAGATGGACAAATAAAAACCTAACCATATGGAAGCTCTCGGCAGGGGAAATCAAATGGCCGAGGATTAGGAAGAATGGGAAGAAAACCGGCGTACTATGTTTTTTTTTTTAAATATTAGTAATGTTATTAAACATTACTAATATTCCCTTTAACCACTTCTGGTAAGCTTAAAATGCTTGTGTTAGAAGTGGTTCACGACAGTAGTCGAATGGCGGATTCGAACCCACGACCTTTCGAGTTCGCGGTCCGCGCCCTGCCATTAGGCTACTGACGCTTGTGTTCGGTATCGAGGAGTATCTTCTGCATTTGAGCCCGCATTGGTCAGTCACGCAGTCCCTATCGTCTCAGATGAGCTAAGACACTGACCGGGATTAACCTGTTTGCAGAGACGACTAATGAAATAATTTCGGCCCACATACTACCCTACACGCCAGTCACCTCGTGAACCAGATTCAAAAAATTTGGTTTTCTCATGTTTCGGGTTCTTGTCATACAGAATGGTAATGTCGCCCAAAAATATCCTCCACAGTACCCAGTTGACCATCACAATATCAGACTCATTCGCAAGTATAGTCCAGTCCGTTTTAATGGCCCAAATTGAGAATGCTACAGTCATTTATGAGTACGGCTTCCGGGCGAGTACTTACAAGATATTTTATATGTAGCATCATCATCATTTCAGCCCATCTGTAGTCCACTGCTGAAATATGCCCCCTTATAAATATAGGGGTGGGGGCAGGAAGGTGTTGTGTATCTAGGTTTTATTACGCCAAACAACCCATAGGACTTTCCGGTATATACTCTCTATTCGAATACTAATCGTTTTAATTTTTTTATTCGACCATATTTTAGTTGAAATTAACTAATAAATGATTATTTAAAGGTGGTAGCTAGATCAGGCCAAACGACTTACAATGGCGTTATAGACGCAACTAGGAAAATTTACGCAGAAGAAGGTGCTAGAGCTTTCTGGAAGGGAGCTATAGGTAAGTATATTAAAATTAAAAAAAAAACGTAGTTTCACGTGGTAGAGCCATGCTGCAGCTGTATTAGTAGTATAGTTGTAGCACGAGTGGGTCGCCTCCACCGGGGAGGACCACGCTCTCACAGAACGCCAGCGTAAAATAGCAGCTTAACGCTGCCGTGTTTCGTATGGTGACACCTTTTCTAATGGAAACGAGGCATTCCATCTTATTTCTCAAAGGTGACAACGAATTAAAATTTAATTCATAATCGAGGAAAGATTTAGATGTCTATGGGCCACAGCATCTTCTTAACATCACGTGGACTGCGTGCTCATTTGTCACCCTATATATAATAGAATACTATTAAAAAGTATATAATAGAATACTATTAAAAAAATCTATTAACATTTCAGTCCGCTGCACTACCGCAATACCTTACTTGTGACGTAATTTTTGTATATTTTTTTTTTGGAGCCTATAAACGTCATTTCTGTTATTTCTGAGTGAGTTTTAAGGCACGAAAGTGTCCACCACGCGTCTTCAATGTATATTGATTGAATTGACTTCGATTATTTTAATTTATCAGAATACAAAATGTAAATCATATCCACTCAATGTTCTCTTTCACCGCCGAGCACGTAGCAATCAGCACTTAAAATTGCAATTAACAATTTCATTGGTGCCTGCGGGGATCGAACCCGGGTTTTCATGCGTACTGTTAAATTTATGGCAAACCCTTAAACTAACACAATTATATATTGTCATTTATGTACATCCATTAATTACAGCTTATAAAAATTCCCTGCTGAACATAGGCCTTCCCCATAAATTGTCTTACAGGGACATTTTGCCATAGTTGCCACGTCAGCAAACTAGTTGGCAACCGCAGTCTTTTTTTATTTTCAGTTGTTATTAGGAAGATGTTGCTGCTGCCACTAAAACTCAAACAGGACACACTGTTTCAGTTTCCCTCTGTCGTATCTCACGACGCCCACGCGACGAAATGGGGTAGTGGCTTTTTTTACACCGCCCCTACACGGCTCAGATATTCTTCAGTGTTATTTGGTGTTATATTTATATTATAATTAAAAAAATACTTTCAATAAGTATTATGTAATAATCAATATTGAATAAAAAATCATTCTATTCTATTATGTATATATAAATATGTGTATCCAATAATGTTATTAACATTATATGAATTAATGTCGTATTTCAGCCCGTGTGTTCCGTTCCTCGCCGCAATTCGGTGTGACGCTCGTGACATATGAAATTCTTCAGCGTCTATTCTACGTTGATTTTGGAGGATCGTAAGTAACGAATGTAGCAATATTACTTTCTGTTGACTCTAATTTATTTTACCTTTAAGAGCGTCTTCGTTATTTCGCGTTCGGTGAGAGTAAATAACAGTTATACAAATATTAGGTTAGTCTGGAATTCGAACCTAGGATTCATGTCTTAATAGACCAGATACTTTGGCTAGTTAACCTGTTAAAAGAAATTAAAGAGTCAGAGTCTTCTATTGTTTTAAAGTAAATTGAAGTAAAACTTCTCTAAGCGCGATTTGAAGATAACTCTGATCTTTTGGAAATAACTTTCAGTAAAATCTATAGTCCGCTTACACAGTTTCGTGAGCGCAAATTGAGAGTAGATCACTATCATCATCATCATAACATCCCTTCAAAAGTCTACTACTGAATATAGCCCCCCCCCCCCTCTACCAAGGAATGCCACAAAGCATGGTCCTGAGCAACCTGCATCCTGAAAACAAGATTGAACCACCAGTGTGTATTGCTAGTGATGACTTATGGATCTGAGACGTGGTCATTCACTGCTGCCCATATGAGGAAGCTCAAGGTCGCTCAGCGAGCTATGGAGAGGGCTATATTCGAGGTTTGTCTGAGGGATAGACTTAAAAATGAGGATTTCCGCAGTAAAACCAGAATAACCTACATAGTCCAACGAATTAGTAAGCTGAAGTGACAATGGCCCGGCCATAAAGCTCGAAGAACCGACAACCAATGGGGACGCAAGGTTCTCGAGTGGCAGCCTCGTGCCGGTAGGTGAAGTATAGGGCGACCCCCTTTTATATGGTGTGACGACCTGATAAGACATGCAGGAAGTCGCTATCATAATACTGATTAATTATAATTTGCATTGTATGTTATTACATAAAATGTTCCTTGCGATAAGCGACGAGCACAATGCTCATATAATAAATGTTATAAGCGACTTATATAATGTATGGCAATTAAAACCAAAAGCTATCTTGAAATAATGTCAACAGAGGAGCGTTTTCACAAAACGATACATCATAAAAAAGTATATTTTTCAATAAACGGTTTTATGTGTTTATTTCTTTAAGGTTAAGAATATTTAATGAAAATTACAGTTTATTTTGTAAGTATTTTACTTAGTTATTATTAACTTACATAATAAAATACAATCAACTATAATTAACAGAAATAATGAGATCACAAAACTACGAGTTTTTTCAAAATTGATACATCTGCTGTTGATGTCTCGGTTTGATAAAAACTCCATACAAATAGTTTAGATTCCAAACCATGTTATAATACAGGTTCTTCGTCGTCGTAGTTACGTCTAATATTGTCATCGTCAGGACCAGAACTCTGAAGCACATCGTCATAAAATTCCCGAGCATCAAGGTCATCAGAAATGTCACAAAATTTAAGTAGATTTTCGACGTCTGCTTTCTTCTTTAATGAGATCATATTAGTTTTAGGTAATTGGTCACAATCGAATCTCGAAAAAGATTTAACTCTTTTCTTTTTTATTTCAGTGGTCACTGGCGCAGCAGAATATGCATCTTGAACACCAACTTCAATATTTTTTGAAACTCGTGATCCGACTTTAGTAAAGTGAATTATCCGTGTTTGGGATATCTTAAATGGTAGCTTTGTCTTTATCATTCGTTTTGCCGTGGCTTTCATGTTATAAGTATACCAATCTTTACCCCATTCGTTGACTTGTCCATGTTTTCCTAAAATTGAATAGTACTCTTTTGGCGAGACAATCACTTCACGTCGACGGTAGTCTTTTTCCACCCTTCCGAATACCCTATCAGGAGGCATAAAACTATGGCCTGGAATAGGAAAAATGTGGCTCAGTTTATTAAAAACCTTGCTAGAAGCCATGAAATTGGCTAACATAGTTAACATAATAAAGTTTTTATTCTGACTGCTGCAAGAATCTGAATACAGTTCAAGCTTCAAATCTTTTTTATTTTCTCTTAGGCATATTTCTTCCAAGTTTCTCAAATAATGTTGAAGTGCTGAAGCTATCTCATTAGCTCCTCGGCCGCTCTGATTTTCTAACCAAACATAAAACTCTATACCATTCTTGGTTTGTTTAGTTTTAGGTTTATGTTGCATTACACAAAAATTATATAGCCAAGCTTGACGAGAGTAAAATACCTCTCCAACACTTAATTTTGGTAAAGGTTGATTTTGCTGGCAATCGAAACATATTTTAATAACTTTATCATCTTCAGTATCATTCAGTAAACTAAAGAACTTTTTAGCCCTTAACTTGTGCAAGCGATATTCAGTCCGAATGTTGTTCTTCTTCTCTAAATCCTTTTCATTTTTTATTTTAATTAAAAACTCCTTGCAAGCTGAACAAGTATCTTCATGAGGGTTTCCGAAACCTAAATTAAAGTTTTTGTAAAATACTGACTTGTATTTAGACAAAGAGCACGTTTTTTCAGAAATAGACTTTTGGTTTTCTATGAATTTCTCGTACATTATTTTTAAATTCAGTTCAGGAGGTAAGTAAGATCTTGAACACTTGCTCCTAGAATAATGACTTTCTCTACATTTATACTTCATGATGTCATTTTTTATCAGATCTGTCATCTCAGCTATAGCTTCTAGCTGTTTAGCGCTCTTACCACCTCGGCGCTCTTTTGGTTGCGAACCCGTGGCCAGAAATGCATTAGCTACTCGAAGGAGACGCATTCGTTGTGTGCCTGTTATTTTTTGAAAAGTTTTCGAACAAACCTGAACTTCTGCTCCATTCTCCATAGGAACAAAATAAGCGATTGACATTTTGCGGTAGTTTACAGACTTGGTCACTTTTGATCGTCTTTTGGGGATAGAAATGCGCATGTACTTCAACAAAAATTTATCTTGGTCGATTTTTGTACTATTCAAGTATAGTTTCCGTCTAAATTCTGTAACAAGTGAAAACTTTGGCGTAAAATTTTATTAAAAAACACGTGTTTACATATATTTGAAACGTGTGTACATTTTGACAGAAATTGAAATGAGACAATATGAACTATGCATATGTGTAAGTTAAGAAAGTTAATCGGTTTGTGGTATGGTGCGTTCGCACTATACAACAACACAGGTATGTAAAGAATAGCCAAATGACTGACGCATACGCTATAACTCATGTTTTGTGCACGAACTATAACTTACTACTTATATGTTACTTATATGTTACTACGAAATATACTAGTAAAATATTACCTTTCAGATCATTGAAACTAAGTTTCAATGCCTGGCACAATGACCTTTTCTTAAAGCCTGTTATTGTTATATCTAGATGATGATCACAGTTTAAATCTGGACCGTCTTTTCCTTCTTGTGTGTATTTAGAGGTCTTCGGACTGTTGCGTTGCCGTCTAGACTTTCTTCCCCTAACAACTTCAACAACTGGCGTGTCATATTCTCCGTTATCCATGATTATTCATTAAATTTAAACTCCAAAAACGTGCGTGCTTTCTTGAGACTTACCCAATAATACTGATTTATAATGTGACGCAATAATAATAATGCCATTTTGCCAGAAAAGGATAGCAATAAAAAAGCGAATCTAGTGCGTTTGATGTATCGTCTTGAAAAATTTTGTTCGTCGTAGATGTATCACTTTGAAAAAACTAAGAAACTTTACAGTACTATATGAATAGTTTATGTATTGCTTACAGAAAATTCATTAATACTATCATGTTCAGCTATAGAAAGAGTATTCAAAAGAGCAAAAAAATAAAATTTGCTTTTTTGTTTGTTGTATTGCTTTGTAAAAACGCTCCTCATTTGGATGTGCGCTCCGAGTCGTAATAAAATATTAAACTTTAAACAACGTAGTTTTTTTACCCAGTTAAGTTTCTGTTTAGTTAATTATATAAATTTTCAAAATTTCCCATTGCATCCACACTTATTTTCTACCGACTTCAAAAAGGAGCCGGTACTCAATTCGACGTTTGTTTGATGACGATGTTTTTTTTATGTGTGTTAGCTCATAACTTCTTACTGGGTGAACCGATTTCGATAATTCTTTTTTTATTTGAAAGCTGGTGCTTCCCATGTGGTCCCATATAAATTTGATCACGATCTCACCAATAGTTTTTGAGTTATTCTTAATGATTTATTTATATTGAAGTCGGTTGTACAAAATGTTTTAATTTTAAATTATCTTTATTTTTAGACGTCCAACGGGATCAGAGCTGCACGTAGCTACTCCAATAGAGGAGACGAAGAAGAAGGCAGACCACATCGGTGGCTACCAGGTCGCAATACCAGTACTCACTGGACTGGAGACCAAGTTTGGTATCTCCTTACCTAGGTTCTCCATACCAAAACCACAATAAGAATGTAAAGTGGAGCTAGGCATTTAATCAGTAAAGGAAGAGCTTTGAACATTATTTAAAAACCTCAAATAAATGTCGCTTTATGGAGCATATCGACCGTTAAATTAAAAAAAAAGATTGCTAGCTAGTTACCAACAAATCCAGTGTTGCTATTTATTAAATTATATTTTTAATTGTTATAATTATTAACACTTCTAAAAAAATCATATTTTGTTAGTTTAACATGTTTTAGAAATTTGACTTCATATTTATGTCACTAGAGGTTTGTAAACCGAGCTTTTATTAAATGTCATTCGGTTCGAATTCAGAGTCCATCATTAAATGATTGTATTATAAAGCCCTGACAGATCAAATACGTCACTGCATTGTATAAAAACATTCAAAACACGGTCAGCGTGCAAAATACGCTATTTATAATCCCTCTTTATTATAGTGAGAGATAAATTATTTTTTTATATTTATTTTATATGTCCATGAATCGAGTTTGGGAATTTTGTTATAAACTTGAACATGTTTGAAACTTAATCAATATTTGTTTTGATAGACTGCTTTTGTTAATTATCTTTAATTTCTGTTAACATTTAAAAATTGTTTGAAAGTAGAATAGTTGCAACTTTTCACGCACAACACTAACTCATTGTAAATTTTAACATAGTTTAGATAAATTCTATATTAGATAGATGGCTCACATAGCAGTTGTTATACAATTAAAATGTCCATAAATTTAAATATAATTATATGAAAAGTTGCTCCTATTGTTTTCTTATATAAGAAAGAGAGTCTAATGTTTTATATTAGACAATATTTAAATCGAAATATGTTAAGGTTGTAAAAAAATGGTTACTCGAGGAACGATGAAATGTGAATGATTATGCTATATTGAGATTATTTTAGGCTTTTATAGGTAGAAAATGATTGATCAATAAATCTATATCGGACCGCTTTTTCTAGTGTATCTTGTGCGAAATAGGAGTGGGCGCATCCATAGTTTACCCTTTTTTATAGATACTATTTCCACTGAAGCTTATTTTTCGTAGCTTATATTGTGAAACTATAAATTACACTATAGATTAAATATAACACAGTAACTATACTTTTCTTTGCCACCATAATGAAAAACATTACGTCTTTGGCGGGCTTCCAAATAAGTTATTAATGCACATTGTGACGTAAGATATGACTTACGGCTTTTAGCATTATTTGAAAATTTAGATAGACTTTGAATGCCTTGTTGGTTAATATAATTATCGAAGGTTTGTTTATTCAAAATTTACTTCATATCAATAAAACGTAATATAAATAAATATCTTGAAAAACACATTAAAATACAAACAAAACAAGGTTGTGTAGTAATTAAATTAATATTAACTGGAAACTCATTTAGAAAATAAAAAGCACATACTATTTTTGTGATGTAACAAAATAGTTTATTGATGACAAAAAATAAAAAAAATATCTATAAAATCTACCATTGAAGTACTAATACAAGTCACACACAGGGTGACGAGCCTGATGGGTAGACACAGACTACGGACTTCCTGACACACCTCTCATTCTTTTTGCGTATGTATGCTCGTCTGTTAAGAGTATTCTTAATTTGGTCCATCTTCATGTCGCCATTATGATGAGACGAGCGTGATACTGTCAAGGAAGGGATATGACAACAATAGACTGTCTATGGATGGCCCAAAAACAAATGCACAACTGTAACCGGTGTTATCTTAGCGTGAAGTAAGCAAAAATGTTGTACGACAACAAAGTGAATAAGGATAAAGACACGTGATAGAAAACCGATGCGACTAGGTACTATATTTATTGACATTGTACATTTTTGTGTTAAAAATAAATCGAATAAAACTGACGATACATTTTGTTTTATTTATTACACTAAAACAGTTAAAAGCAGCCTACCCGAAAATGTTGATAGCGAACCTCGTTGCTGTTTAACAAGCTTGAACTATCTTCGTAATGTTGTACCGCAATGGCACTTAGTACTTTTAAAAAACAATTTTTATTACTGCTTATATAAAGATTTCATTACATATGCCTGACTACCCACAGCGACTTGTGGATGCTGGACCGAGACAGGTGTAGATCTTCCCGTGAGATCTTACTAACACATCCCGTGAGGTTCATAGAATATAGAGTTTGTTAACTAAGCTTAGTTACTGGTCAGGAATAACACTAACTCCGGACATATCAGTAGGAAGAGGGTTTCTCTGTCTCATTATGCTAAAAATGAAAGGCTACGCCGATAAAATTTCAATAAAATAAAAAATTGAATTCAACCACTTTTCTACAAAGGTAAGTAGGTTAGCACATTTTCTTAACTTGGCAACATTTTCTAAAATCTAACATGGAAACTCCATTGGATAGTTTTTTTTGTTTGTTGTGTCACCTTCAGCCACAGACTAATATAATACTTACGCATGCCTTCAGCTAAAACGGCGATTTGGTGGGACGGGCGTGTTGGTGGGAGTGAAGGCGAGTACAGGGTTCACCTAAGATCGAGAATCGAGACTACAATAATAAACTTAACATTTTTAAGTAAGATGTTACGATATATAATAAGGCGTATATGCATACCTAGTAATAAGGTTATTTTTAGCCAACTTCAAAAAAGGATGAGGTATTACTATTCGGATGTATTTTACTCGATATTTTCGCCAATTGTGAACAGATTTTGATGATAATTTTTTTATCATATTTTTTTATTAAGGTCGGTAAAATAGGCGTTGAAGTTTTTAGTATTCACTCAAAAGGTTAAAAAAATAATTTTTACAAAATGTAAGTCGACAAAAAAAATTTACACTTAGTTCATCTTAGTACAGACTTCAGAATGTGAAATTATTTTATTTTTTAGGTTCTTTGAAGTCGACCTTTAATTTTTGTTCAGTTAACTTTTTTAATCTAGAATACTAGAAATCGATATTTGGTAGAGATATCACAGCAGTACTTAAATAAATTCTCGGCCACGCATTTTTAAAAATTGGTGTTTAACGAGCTTAAATTCGACCTAATGGTAAGTGGCTTCTGTAGCTCATGAACAGACCTGTATGACCAAGCCAGACGTGTAAGTAAGAGTAGGGACAGACTGGTCCCACGTACGCAATGCAACGCTCCTACGTCGGTGTACACACTTTACCTACGTATGCAAATGCAACGTAGTTTGGCGTCAGAAACTTGTCACTTCTAAGCACTAGTAGAAATGTGACTTACTTAGTCCGATGTTCATAAACGAATATATCCACGCCACGAAGAAAACACTTTCTATTAAAAATTTTAATTAATTTTATGATGATTTAATTTATGATTTATAATGCAAACAAATACATGAATATATAGAATACAGTGTGTTGTTTCCGCAATATATAAAATCATGTTTCATATTTTAAGATATCTAGGGTAAAAATATAAAAAACTACTCTCCCTTTCCGTGCTTTTGTACGAATTGTGTACGAATATACCCTCCACCTTCACACGCCAATCTGGACATCGTAGGTCGACGTTACGTCGGATTGCGTTGCATACGATGTGTTTCTAATGCATAGATTGTCATACAAAATCAAGAGTCCAGATGTTGCGTACTTGGGACCAGTCTGTACGTGCCTTTATGCTCCGTGTATGTTACAGCTTATTTTCTATTTAAGTCTTCTTCCTATCTCTTTGTGCAGGAATACGTTATATAAGAAGTGTATGGAGATCAGCTGCCTAGTAGGATATGGATCTTTGTACTCAAGAGATGACAACGCATAAGTAGATTATATATTTGAAATTGGTTGCATGCCCGTGTATTCCTTTTAAGACCAATTTACACTTCAAATAAGTACAGTAGCGAGTTAACTTGCGAATTGAGTAAAAATCTCGTTTGAACGGAAATTAGTGAATTAAGTAACACATTAACAATTAAGTTGAACAGGATAGCTGGCCGGTCTATTTTTCGGAGAATTTAGTGCGAAGTGTTGTCCTGTCGATCGTCTCCCGCCACCCGCAACTAAACTCGCAACGAAGACATTTGTCGGCTTGCATAGAGCAACATTTTAAAAATAAATTGATTCTGAAGTTTCTTCAGAATTAATTTTGCAAATCACATATTTACAAGACAATAAATTAATTTTGAACAAATCCAAAAAACTGCATTTACAAAAATTCTAAATTAATTATTAACATACTTACGACCTGGTAAGACATGCAGGAAGTCGATGGATGCAGGTGGCTCAGGACCGTGCTTTGTGGCATTCTTTGGGGGAGGCCTATGTTCAGCAGTGGACTTGTGAAGGGCTGTAATGATGATGATGATGATACTTACGATTTCTTATGGTATTTTATAATAACTAACAGGACCAAGCGGCCGAGTGGTTTGGACACTATATTTGGTGTGCCAATTGTTCCTTTTTATAGAATAAGGGTCACAAACGAGCACACAGTCCATCTAATGGTAAGAGGATGCGGTGGCCCATAGAAATCTACATGTATCCACGACTAACCGATTCGTTGCGGCACCAATTTTCGACAACTTTTAGCTGTGGCGGCGAACAAATATTTCATGCTTTGTTGCCACAGACTTTGTTGACACGCCTATTGTGCCAGCAGCCATGTGTAAAAATAATTATCTTTTTTATGCTTTTTTCACTTGTTTAGACCTAATTAAGTTACATCAAACATTAGTTACAAACGGAAGGATACTTGTTTTTAGTGGGTAACTACGTGTTTTTCTACGTGTTTTCTTTGAAATTGAGAGTAAGTGACTTTTTTTATGCAGAGATTACAAACATTTTGTACTATTTTTTGTTTTATAAAGAAATCATTTATATAAGTAGGTAAGTATCACCTCGGATTGACAAAAGACTATTTATTAGCGGACTTTTTTTATGCATGAACGGTTTCAAACTGTTTCAAGCAAAAATAAATCCTATACCATATCACAAGAGCACATGGTACTCCGTAGGTCTATACGGCCATATGATAGTAATAAGACGGCAGTTCAACCATTTAAAACAATAAGACAAACGCATTGTATTTTTAACAGGAGACTTGTTTTCCAGAAATTTATTTACAGTTTGAGTTTGTGAGCGATCGCAATGAGTGCTATTATTTGTTACTTATTAGACTATTTTTCCACAACATGATTACACATGACAACATGACCCACAAAGTAAAAAGAGTACCATGTACAAGTTAAAAAAAGGTTGTCAACCCCTAAAAATTCAAATTTTCAAAATATCCAGAAACGAAGCTGCAGACATGAACTACTTGCAAAATAATGAATATTTTGTTCTGGATAAATTTTCCAAAAACGCAATTTGAGCGAGTTATAACGATTTTTAAAAAGACACGACTTGTGTGTCATACACCACAAACAAAAGTGGGCAGCAGCGTCTTTGTGATAACAGCTACAAAATAAAACTGGTTGACAACCCACCTGCAAAACATGGTAATTATGACAAATACCCCCTCTATGATGCAATCTATGGTGGAAGTCCTATGTTCAGCGGTGACATTTTGATATATTGTAATAGTAATGGTAAGAATTTGCATTGTAAAAAATTGTCTGTTTTGGTTCAGGAAATGTCTTTATTAATAAAATATTTTTATAAATTTCATCCCAGTGTAGTTCAGGATACGAGGTCCAGAGCGGAGTCACACAGTTTGTTCAACAAATATTGACTCACCAATTAAGTCTCAAGTGGTCCAATAAATATAATTTAAACTTGATGAACATGCCAAATGCAACTTCCATTTGGTTTCATATTTAAGTTTCTAAACTTAGTGCTATGTGTTAGGGAAACAAAATGTTATATTATTACAAAAAAAAAAACATTGCAGTGTTTTGTTTGTGAAAAAGCTAAAGTATTTATTATTACTCAAGCAAAATCAAGTGATAATGCAAGAAATTTATAATATTTTAGTTTTAATATTCAATTGATATCTAAATATATTATGCTAATGACAATTATAATTGTGTCCACTTGAAACCGTATAAATGTATACATTAGTATAAACGTACTATCAACAATAAATCTAAATAATAGTTAAAATATGTCATGACAAACCATAAAAATCTAATTAAAATTGCCAATGGCCTAAAGAGCACATACGACCATTTCAAATTCTTTTTACACATTCAACAAATGAATTTTCAGCAAAACATTAAAAATAATAAGGCCGTAATTGAAATACACATAAAAGTGTTTTAAATTATAAATTTAATAAATGAATTCTGAAATATTAAATGATTTGAGTATTATTTACAAAAATATGTAAAATAAAAATAAAAAAAGTAAGTTATACATACATCTCAAAGCTGGGCACTGACCTCCCCACAATATTGACAGTTAATAGGAATTAAATAAAATGTGTAATTTCAGCACAGATCTAAGGGGTAACTGCAGAAGTGAACACAATTTTAATCACAATAATTCTAAGCTCATAACTCTAATTCTCAGTTCTAAACTTCGCCGAAATTCGTGTGCATAGTTTCCTTAGCGTGTCGCTGTGCTTCGGCCTGTCCAGTGAGAAATTTATTGCAGTTCATGCATTTGAGTGTAAATTTGTTCAAGTCTGTGAACTGACGGGAAGATTTGGCTTCATGAGCCAATTGCTCAGCCTCTCTGTAGATGTCCATATCCTCGGCGGCGAATATTGTTTGGACACCACCCTGTAAATTTTTAATCATGATTAGAATTAAGTTGGTAGATACGAGTATAATGAGTCCTATGAGGCGACTATGGCAAATAGATGACTAGATGTAAAACACCCCACGTAACAACATTTGCGACCGCCCGCTTTAGAAACAGCAATCCTGATGTTAGGTTCCATATTTTTTTGTAGACAGGGTTAGTAAGGATGTATCAAATTTCAAAATATGGAATTGCGAAAATCCATATTTTGAATTATAATTTTTAGAAAAAAACACAAAAATGTAATGAAATTATTAAAAGAAAAAAGAAACTAAACACAAATAACAAATTCGAGCGATACAACGTTTTATTTCACGAATTTTGAAATAAGTCAATTTTTTTCATTAATGTTTTATAAAGTATGTTTTTGTCAAATAATAGATGCAACAAGGGGATAGGAGAACCCCTTCGGCAATTTCTGCTTTGATTTGAAAAGGTTTTTTGCAGACAAGCCAAAGTCTCATTCATATTATATTTCCCCCCAGAGGGAGGAGGGTGGAGGGAGAGCTCTCCCCGCTGCCCTTCCTCTGGGGGAAACCCTCTGTCCTCATTGCCCCAACACTGTCTTCACTGTGCGATATTGCTATTACTACAGTATTTTTACAGTTTTCGATGTTGTTATCCAGTACAGATCTGGTACTTCCCCAACGGAGCTGAACCACTCATGCTGCAGTGTTGGTCTATCAAATGGCATTTTGGCCGAGTTTTGCAAAGTTGATTTTTTTGTTTAATTTGGGAAGAAGTTGCTTCCACAATGAAAATGTTGCTGTAAATGTCACCTGGTACGTGGAAGAGCCACTCTGCAGCTATATAATGGTCGGCTCGACCGGAGAAGGACCACACTCTTACAGAATACGAGCGTAAAATAGCAGCTTAATGCTGTTGTGTTTCGTATGGTTGTCCTTTTTACTGGAAATGAGGCATTCTATCTTAGTCCTCAGTGATGACAAGCATCTGAATTTTGCATCCACTTACCATCACGTGGACTGTGTGCTCATCTATCACCCTTATTAAAAAAAAAACTAACAGCTAGGTATTCAATGAAACGGCGCGGTCTGTTTGTCGGTGAACCGAATCTGGTTAAAGCCAATCTTACCAGTCTCAAGCATAAGCACAAAGTATCTTTAGGTTTTATAGGATGCATTTCGGAGTGTGTGCACAGGAATGGCATAACTTAATTTCTCTCTCTACTATCGGACAACCAGATGCTTGGACAGTCTTCATCACTTCATCGTGGGCTTATCATGTGTTAGAACCTCTTTTAGGTTTGCTTCCTCGTTCATCATGCGTAAGAGTGAAATATTTACCAGCATCTGTTTTTCCATACAATTACAATGTGAGTTTCTTCGAGGCAAAAATGAATAGGCTTTTTTTTAAGCTAAATCACTGCACTTTCTATCTTCTGCTGCATCAACATTTACTATTAAGTGTAACCATTCCTAAGCCAGTGCTTGGATAGTGTTCAAGCACTTGCTTAGAATGGTTTACAGAAGTGGGGTGTGAGTCTAGTTCACTGAACTTTGATTTTGTTTGTGTTATGTCTTATCTTGTTTTGTTTTATGATTTATTATATTGGTGATTCATATAATATTTTCTTTTCCCACTATATTACAGTCAAAATAACTTTAATGTAATTATTATACAAAATGTATCTAATCATACATAAAAACACACATAAACTCACCTATCACAGAGTGGTAGGCAGAGACTTCCATTTGGCACTGACACACCTTTCACATCCATATATCTACATGCTAGTGTACAACTTACACTCACCATACGAAACACAGCAGCCTTAAGCTGCTATTTTATTCTGTGAGAGCGTGGTCCTTCCCCGGTCGAGCCGACCCATTCGTGCTACAACTATACCAGATATGTAGCTGCAGCATGGCTCTACCACATATAAAACTTACTTTGGCCCAGTTACAATATACCGCCAATTTGGTAGATAGACTTCCCTCTAGGGTGTACCTCTCCAACTTTGCTACTCAATCAACTTCTGCAGCATAAATTTGCTTTGTCACTCTTTCATTTTCTCTACTTGTCCAAAATACCGAAGCATTCCTTTCTTGATGCTGATCACAACATCTTGTAAACCACACTTTTCTCATCGTGTCGTTCAGAGCCACACCTAGCATTAATTAATGGAGCATTGCTTTCACTCTCATAATGCCTCTTCCAAACTCAACTCTCTATACCACACATTTTGGTATCAACTAATGCAATATATACATATTATAATATTTAGGCAAAACTATTTATGTTTAAGAAAGAAAAGAATAAAGGTAAATTGAACTTACATCTGACTGTTCCAAGTACAAAGGGTCATAATGTACTCCATCAAACAGCAAAAAAACCCTCTGACCATAGTTTTTATCTTCGCCAAACCTATTAATTATAGCGTTTAATGTATCCACAACCGCCATTTCCAAGCCGTAAAAACGGGAGAGTATCGCCACCTAAAATTATAATATTGTAAGTAGTAAATTTATTTACCTTATATTTCTTAGCAAACACAGATTCCACAATCGAAGGTAACCAACCAATATTTGTGGGAGCAACAAATTATGGTGTTTAGTGACACATTATCTGATGGTATTTAATAATCACAAAAGTAAACAGAAGCCAGTGCAATTATTATATTAATTCATCTTAATACTTGGAGTTTCTATGCATGATAAACTTAGAAATGAGGATATCCACACTAGAACCAGAGGAACCGACATAGCCCCTTGGATTAGTAAGCTGAAGTAGCAATGGGCCGACCATATAGCTTGAAGAATAAATAACCGATGGGGAAGAAAGGTTCTCGAGTTGCAGCCTCGTACAGGTTGTAGGGTGGACCCCCAGTAGATGGAGTGACGACTTAGAAAGACATGCAGGAAGTCAATGGATGCAGATGTCTCAAGACCGTGATTTGTGGCATTCTTTGGAGGGCATCTGAAGGCCTATATCCATCAGTGGACTTGTGAAGGTCTATAATGATGATGATGATTTGCAGGAAAAAGAATTATAATTTTAAAGTGCAACCATAATAATCTAGTCTATTCACTAGCAGCAAGCTATTTAGTAATCTACATTGAATGAAATGTTGTCTATTTCACTGAATTTGCTTATTTATAGAACAATATTAAGATATTATCATATACTACCTCAATAGCTCCACCCCAGGAGCTAGGCTGTTGTATCCAAGTGCAATACTCGGCATTAGGTTTGCCCAGCATGGCTTCATTATAAGTCTCATGGTCACTCGCCACCTCCATGGCAATTATCTGCCGCATTAGAGTATGTACAGATGTATCCACATTGCCATTTAATACAAAACCTGCAATTACATATATTTTCAACACATTTATATTGAATACATAATAAATGGGGTAATGCCATTATACATTATGCGTGTATCTGGTAACACTGGATCCAATTAATGAGTCAAAAACATAGACAGGGGTATATTCTTATTTATTTTCAAGAGCTTCTACTCGTCAACTCACAGTAATTACTAGCACAGAGGGACTCCTAAAATAAAAATAAAGTTCTCGTTGTTAAACTCTTTTATGTGACATTTTACATGATGAAAAAAAAACTAGGTTATGGTTGGATTATGGTGGTTGTTGCCGTTTTTCCATTCCATATACACTGCAATTGATGTGCCATTAGCAAAACAAAAAAATTTTTGATAAATTTATTTAGTTTTTTTTTAATAGAATAATGGTGACAAACAAGCACAAAGTCCACCTAATGGTGGTTGCTGTGGCCCATAGACATCTACATCCATCCTCGATTAAAATTCAAAATGCAGATGCATTGTCACCCGTGAGGACTAAGATAAAATGCCTCTTCTCCAGTAAAAAGGGTCTCCTGTTCTCTACACTCACCATACGAAACACAGCAGTGTTAAGCCACTATTTTATGCTGGTATTCTGTGAGAGCAGGTCCTTCTCCAGTCGAGCCGACCCATTTGTGCTACAACTGTACTACTAATATAGCTGCAGCATGGCTGGCCACTTTCAGAATTACAAAATTCAAATCACAATATGTTAAATTCGAAATATAAAGCATCAATGGCAAGGATCAATGAATTTGTGACTCCCAATGACCTTAAACTGAAATGAAAATAAAATGTCATTAACAAATAAATAAATGATAAATATGTATTAATTAATGTACTATGCTTCTACTTCGTGCCGACATTAAACATACATAAAAGTATATAAAAATACAACATTAAAAGTATATAAAAAGGAGTATAGGCAACATTAAATTATGTTCTGTTACTGTGTATACTTAAGCTCAAATGTGAGAAGTAAATAGGTATTCATACCTATGAGGCTACACCTGTACTTTTTTTTTTAATTATAAAACATTACCTGTACTGAAAAATTATTAATTTTTATTACATTTGTATATATTACATTTTATTTGTAGTTAATACTCTGAAGACCCAATAGATATTAAATTAATAATCACAGCTATGTCATCATTACTTAGATAAAATAATAAAATGAAGTGAAAAAATAATAAGTTCAAACTTTGTCACAAATTACTTAGTTCTTGCAGCTTGACATATGAAATTTAACCTACATTTTCTACTGACTTCAAAAAGGAGACGGTACTCAATTCGATTGTATGTTTTTTTATTTTTTTTAATGTACCTCATAACTTTTTTCTGGGTGAACCAATTTCAATGATTCTTTTTTTTATTTGAAAGCTGTGTGTGAATGTGGTCCCATATAAATTAGATCAAAGTCAGACCAATAATTTTTGAATTATTCTTAATAATTTATATTGAAGTCGGTTGTACAAAATGTTTTATTTTAAATTATTAAAATATGAATAAGCTTACCTATGCTAGTAAATAAACAAGAATTATCTGGAGGGACTATTTTCTTCATCAAAATGCCAGGCCTACATGACCCTACAGCCTCGTGGGAAGTTACGCCATTTTCTACAGGTTTCTGAGGCTCGGCTTTCGACGTAATTTCTTGAACAGATGTTTTTTCTTCCAAAATCAAAGTTTCACCAGTCTTCAAACCTATCTCACTCAAAGTTTTATTATCATCGCTTATATCCAGTGGCTTCGGTGGAAACCCAAACAAAACGTGAATTCTATCAACACTAACATCCGATAAGCTATAGAGAAATAATTTTAATTCTCCCACTGTACTTTCAGAGGTCAGATCTTTTAAAATATGCTGACCGTTTTTATTTTTCACTTTTAATGCCAACGCTGCCATTTGATAAACACAAATTTAAAAAATGCTAATTAATTTCAAGAATATGGCTATTCGTCAGAAAGACGTACAGAAAAAGGAGATCAAATAAATAAATAACATTACGTATGTATCATAGAAGCTTTGAGTTTCTGAAATGTCGAAGGTGACTAGGTGACACTGACAGTTGATTTAATTTTTTTTTTGAGTTTATGGCCTGGTATCTAGACTTTTAGGCCATACAGGTGATTTAATGGATCCAATCAGTGTTTCCAGATGAAAATTGCAAACCACCGTGTCAGCAGATTTATTTTTAAATTACAGCGTATATGAATGATCGTGTCAGTGTAAAACAAAATACAACTTTTTATATTTTGTTTACTAGTAATGAATTATTCTTCCAAAAATTCAACTTCTTGGTCAAAAGATGATGAAATAATTTTTTTAATCGTGACTTTTAATCATGTCTTTAAACACAATTTCCACTTCCAGAGCCAGAGTGTTTCCTTTAATAGTCTTCGTAATCAATCTTCAATTCTTTTAATTAATTCTTTTCTTCGTTTTTATATCATTCACTAGAATAAACTGTCTCTCATATGCAACATTGGAGTGGGGCCAGGACAGAATAAGCCACATAATTTTGGGCAGAAATTTAAATAAATTTTTCCTTTTTGGTCCTTAGCTGAGCTATCTGTGAACAAGGAAAAGATTACTTAACTGTATGTATCATTAAAGAGATTACTCATCTTTGTACTTCTGTTTGTAATGCTTATGTTTTTCCCAGCTCCTGCTATTTTGAAGGATGTCGGTGCAGTTTTAGAATTAGTTTCATAATTATCACCGTCACTTTCATCGTTGCACATTATGATCTCGTATTATACAATTTCGTAGAGAAAAATTATATTTTATGCACCAATAAACAGCAAAAAACTTTTTTAAGAAATATAATGACATTTCATTAATTCATTAATATATTACTTATTTTAATATAAGTTATACAAAAGACAAAACCACTGCCAGAAAACCTTTTTCGTTTTGCCAGATTATATGACCTCACAAGCAATGAAATGTTTGGGGATTTCCCGAACAGCGGCTGCCGGTGTTACTGATTAATCTACCCAATTAGAGTATGCGTTTCATTTTACGCGTTTTTGTAATTTTGGATTCAAATTCGACTATCATTTACACGGTACTAGGTTATGGTTATTTATGGTGGTTGTACCCCCCCCCCCCCCCTGTGAACTTATAGTATATATATAAAAAAATACTGGCAGACGCATTTTAAATAGCACATCTCAAAAATATTAATGATTTAAACTGCACCCATATAGTTTAGAAATAAAAAATAGTTAAAGATCGTTCACATTATAACGTCGAGATTACTTAAAATAATTATAATTGGGTTCTTTTTACAAAACTGCACCTTGCTTGAATATAATTGCACCATCGTTAAAAATGCATAAAATGCAATGATAAACGCAAACAGTTAAGTGTCGAATGCATCCAATTGACATTTAACAAATTTGGTTTTAGTAAATTTTTGAGCTTATCATTGCAATTAATAAAACACATAAAATTTACTTAAGTTCGCTGGTATATTTCTGCCAAATTATCCCTAGACTTGTTATGGGATTCACAGGGAATAATGAACAGGAAAAATGCCTGAACAGGAAAACCATATAACCAAATACCTCTTTGAAATATTTTATTTATTTGTGTTTATCCAATGGTCACCGGGTGTGCTTCGTGGAACGTACGCTACGATAGTATGATAAACAATTACCAATAAATCGATTACGAATGTATTACCCGTTTTCATGTTTGCTTCCTCAAGATATTATCCATTTTTCATTCATTAATTACAGCCTATTAAAAGTCCACTGCTGAACACAGGTATTTTCTATAGTGCCTTATAGGGGGAATATTTGCCATATTTCCCTCTCTTACCGCAATTTATTATTATTTTGAGTTGTTATCAGGAAGATACTGCTTTCTATCTTCTGTTTCATTTCTCTCTGTCGCCTATATTCTTAGAAGCGGATCTTTGTTCTTAGGAGCCAAGGTCAAGGTTCTTAATTGCAATTTTAATTGCTGATTTACCACGTGGTCTGAGAAATAAGAAATAAAATATTTATACGATATTATGTAAAATTCGCCAACAAACATTGGGACAGCGTGGCGGACATTTCCTTGCCCTAAAATCCACTCGAAAATATGAGGAGGCCTGTGTCCAGTTGTGGGACGTATATAGGCTGTAACTTCAACTAACTTTTTAACACGGTGTACTTAATGTGTCATCTAATTCGCACGGAAACAAGTGGGGGTGCATGAATAGTCCGCGCGGCTGACGAGTGACCTCAGTGTGATGCACAGAGTACTTTTTATATACTGGTGTGATGACCGTGAAGGCCCAGTCGCCTAAATGCATTTCTGGATCTATATTAAATAATTCAAAACGCATACGTTGTTATGCAAATTATAGCTAATAGCTTTTTATAAATTTGTTAATAATTATTAAATGTTAACGGTTGTTCCCCTTATATTGGGTAAGTGTGAGCAAATTTATAATATATGTATTACAATAGTATAACAAATATGTTACTTTGATTTTTGAAATTTAGACAATTGTTACTTAGTATGTAATTTAATTTTATGTCACATGCTAGTTATTTTATCACGTAATTGTGTGTCTTTTCATAGTAGATGCTTAGTTGATATAACTTTATTTTCTTGCCTCCGTTCTGTTAGCATGTACCGCCACACCAAACTTATCAGTTTTACTCGCCTAGTTGATTCTGGCGATGGGCGTACAATATTACCTACTTTGACGGCAAAGCTCATGAAAGATTTCGACTGTGTGTTCCAGGGAACCTCGCTGGGGCTGTGACATCCTTCTTATTATTTTTTTTCCAAACGAGATAAGATGGGAGGATTTGGAATTAAAATATATATATATATATCATTTAATTCGCAGCGAAATCGGTCTATAAAGGACACATATTTTCAACCACTTCCGCCGGACTCGCCGCCAGTCGTGCCAGGGAAGTACTTGTTTTTTTCTCCTGATCCTGAAAGGCGTCGAACCTGCGACCATATAGTTTGGTACCGTCGAACCTGCGACGACATACAGTTTGGTATTTTGTGTTAACAATACTTCCCTTGGTCAGGTTAAGATGATCTCGACGAAAAATAAAATAAAAAGAATTAATTTTAAAGGTTTTAATAAAAATAAAGTAACCGCCCTACGTATAAATATTTTCACTGCTACGTTAAAAAAACACTAGCCTAATTAAATTATCACTACGTAAGTATCGATTTTGGCACATTGATCTGTACTTATACATATGTAAAACATGTTACAAATAGGTAAATGTTATGCTAATGTTGGTATTATTTTGAACAGAAATTTTTCGCGTGATAAACGCAAATGTTTTCTATGTGAAGAATAAATTTAGGCCACAACAGATTCACGAATAAAGGAAGGCACATATTTAGTATCAAATTAGTACATTGAGTAGTATTTGGGACAATGTAATTTTGGAATTAGTAGACTCTACACGGGTTTCTCCTCTAAATGAGGCATCCCCAGGAGAAATATACATTGCGATGAGTAACCCACAGATTATTAAGTATTATGGTGGGATCACAGTTAAATATTTAACTAAGCAGAAAGCCAACCAAATAAACGTAGTGTTTTAAATACTCTTTGGAGCCAAAGAGTATAGTAGTAATGAAAACCCACCGCCCATTTATACAACTTTCTTATGGAGGATAGAGAAAAGAAGGACCATCTCATATGGGGGACAAGATGAAAAAGTGTCCAGCTGTAAGCTGTGAGTAACAGTTCAAAAACCTTCCAAAATGGCCCTAGGGTAGATACAGGATATGGTATAAATGTAGCAGTTGTAGATGGAAGTGTGCAGAGTTAAAAAAATATTTTTGGTGACTAGAGTACTTAGTTACAGTAGGTACAGTATACAAAACTTCAACTATTAACGTAGTCCAAAAATACTTTTTTTAAATGTAACCAAATAAATGCTATAAGAAAACGTGGAGAGTGATTTTATTTTGTGAGCTTCAAAGGCGTTTTTAGCGTAACAGGTTTTAAAACTTTATAAAATAGTCCAAATAAATTTTTCTGATTTTAAAATATACCTTGCTTTTCTTGTAGCGCCATCCTAATTTGACGCATTTCGACGGACACTTTTTCATATACAGAGATAGTCCTCCTTACATCTACCCTCTATAAACCTGAAGCAACCGCTCTCCACTCATATAAAGTGTACGCAGTGAACGCAAATTAAGTTTTATTTGCGTCTACTGAGCGAGTAACTATGTTATGCGATATTGGAAGTGCTAGGCTACCTATTACCCACCATCCATTTTAAGCACGCAGCGCAACAACAAACAGGCTTAAAAAGGCAAACCTATAATCCAACGACGCAAATTCATAAATTACTAAAGTAAAATTTTATCGACTGCTAGGTTTTGCTTATGTAAATGTTTGTGATGTTCGACTTTCGATTCCATAATAATTTAATGGCGTTACGAGCAAACGAGATGAAAAACAACGTCAGAGTTAATGTCCGATAAAATCACTATCGTATCGTATCATCATCAAAATAACCCTACTACTACTCTCTTCGTATGGTTTGTAATGGAACAAAGTATGTTTTAATTATTAATTTTTTCTATACATTTATATAAAATTATTCATATAAATTATAAGTGTAATATGACAAGCCACACAAAAAGTATAAATGTCGATAAGAATTCAGCACATTATTATGTTAACATAACATCATAGATGATATTATTTTATACGTTTACTATAAAAAAACACACATTGGTTTTGCAAAGCATTCATCAATATTTTTTCCAGTTTTAGGATTCATTTAAACATTTGAAATCTTTTATAATATTTAAATAACTTTCAATTAATTTTACTACATATTCCGGAATACTACAAAAAATGTATTCTACGAATATGTTAAGCAAGTGTGTTTTGTATTTTTTTGGAAGTGGATTCGTACGGTTGTGATTTTGCCTAAGTGATTCTGTGTAAGATACCTATAGGTTAAAAACTTCCCCCTAATGTGTTGATGCCATCACGCTGCGAAGTTTTTGGAGGTTTTCGACGATAGCTAGCAAACAAGACTATGATGACAGTATCTCAAAATACTCACTCAGATTCACTTCAGACTCATAATACATAAAATCGAATCACTTTTACGTATCAAAATCCATTTAAAACAATTAGTATAACGATAAAATGGGAGCAAAAATCGTTAGCCAACGGTTAAGTTTCCGCCAAAACCTCAAGTGTAATTAAAATGTATACCTTCCTTTTTTGAAATACTTTTGTGGCGTATAAAATCGAAGAGTACTTAAATAAATACCTGGAATGCTTAAGCAATCTATATATCCACATACAAAATTTGGCAGTCAAAAGTACTTTTCTTTTGAAAGTTTTATACAATACACATGAACACTTTCAAATAATTATTCGATAAAATAAGCCCATTTTTCTATTATTTATATTCAACACACCTCCTTTACTCTTCACCATAAAATAATGGTCAAAGAGTGGGATACAAAAATTATCTACTATTTATGATGTACTTACATTTTATTTAATGTGTTAAAGGAATCAAACAATCAACCAGCTAATTAAATATAGTTAATAGTAACTTTAAAGGACTACCAATTGATATGAATTTCAACACCTAGTTTCTAAAAAGTTGTAATTTTACTTATGTATTGTCATTTCAATTAATTTCTAAGTTATTCATTAAATATCTTATCATATTACTTACAAATAAATTTTAAGCTTGACGTAATTACATTTATATTAATGGAATTCAACTGTTTTTTTTTTTACGGAAAACGTTACGTGTATTGTTCGTTTATTGCATATAAGTACAATGTAGGTAATTAATTTATTTTATTTTAATTTATTATCTTGCGGCTATTAACATTAAAGTTATTAGTATATTATGGCACTTAAATTAACAATAGGTTTCTTTGGTATTGCAAAGGTGTACTCGTTTTTACTGGCAAGTACGATACATAATATTATGCCTTAAATCAATGACTGAATATTTTCGGTAACCACTATCAGATTTAAGTATTAGACCTACGCACATATCGCTACAAATAATTTATTTACAATTTCAATCAGTCAAGGACCAATTTAAACGTTTCTCATTTATTTGGAAAATCATAATTTTCAATAATTATCTTCACGCACAAATATTTTTAAAAATCAGCTAAGCACTATACTTCTTCATTTTGTAATTTAATGTATTTTTTTAAAATAAATATGGTTTTAAATTAATATTTTTTATTGAGAAACGTTTTGATCGATTAACAATTTATGCATGTGTGATCAAGTAATTTTAATAAAAACAATGTTTATTTGAACGAAATAAATCGATTCTCGGCGTTTTTTAAAGGAACGATTTAATAAATGGCAACTCTAACTTTCAAATTGAAACCGTAATCACATTGCGCCATTTTCCAACTTCAATCGGTTATTAGAGTTGCGATGAGGCCGCCGATGCCTCGGATGTCTTGGTATCGGCCACCGTCACGTTGGTCGCCTAACAAATCTTGGTAATGGTGCACGTAAGCCCCTTCGCCCAACAACTAATGGAGGCATACGTTCATCTTCTTCTTCTTCGATTTCTCCACCTTCAGAGCTGTCTTCCTCGCTCCATAACTCAGGCTTAACCGCTTGGTAAGATGCTGAAAATCCTTTGAAAACTATTGAGTCGTCTGTACGGAATTTCACGAGGAGTGCCTCTGTTGTAGAAACGATTTCCGGTGGAGTCTGTAAAAAAAGACAGTCAGTTATCTTTAACAGCTTTATGGCAACTGAACATATTTTTATGAGGGTAAACTTATACTAAAACTATAAACGGGCACTACGCTATCGTCTAATTTAAAACCTTTGCTAGTTTGATTCGAATTATACTATGCAATATTAAAAATACGTCCAAGAAAACAAGGTCGGTGGTATTTAATAATATACATCGAAATAAAACATTTGATGTCTAAAATCCGGCTCGTATGAGGGAGTGTACTAGGTAAAATATTTCTTTTCTTTTCAGTTTTGCAAGTAAAAAACATTAGCAGCATGTACAGTTACCTTTGTCCCGCAAAAGCTGCCATAGTCACCGGCGCTGCCTTCCAGGCCACCGAACACCTGCACGTAATCGTAGCCGCAGTTGGCTTCGGGCTCGAGGTCGAAAGTGAGGAAGGTGAGGCGCACGAAGTGGCCGAGCGGCGCCACGATGCTCCAGTCGCAGTTGGCGCGCGACTCGTACGAGTCGTGTCCGTAGCGCGCGTGCGAGTACAGGTGCCGCACCGTCTCCGTCGCCGACAGGTAGCCGCCGCACGCTGCACACACGTATACAAAATATACCAACACATATTCAAAGACTATTTTTTTATATAAGAGGGGGCAAACAAGCATGCAGCTCACCTGATGGTAAATGACTACCGCCGCCCATGAACAACTGCAACACCTGGGGAATTACACATGAATTGCCGGCATTTAAAAAAAGAGTCGGCTCTTTTCTTGAAGGTCCCTAATCGTATCGGTCCGGAAAAATCACTGGTGGTAGTCGATTCCACAAGGAAGTTGCGCGAGGAAGGAAACTTCTTGGGAAATCGTACGGTGGTGGACCGCCAATCATTCAGATGGTGTGGGTGATATCTCGAGATATGTCGCGATGTGCGTCAAAATGTATTGTGCGCACTTTGTCAACGTGACTTGAAGTTTATTTTAGACTAGTTGTTCCCCGCAACTTCACCCTTAATTTTTCGGCTTTAATTTTTTTGCGCGGAACCCTAATTATTTTTCTGAAATAAAAGTAGCCTAAGCTACTCCTTGTGACATCAGCTATCTGTCAGTGAAAATTCTGTCAAAATCGGTCCAGCCGTTTCGGAAATTAGCCCGAACAAACAGACAAACAGACGGACAGACAGACAGACAGACAAAAACTTTAAAAATTGTATTTTTGTTATTAGTACCGTATATATTTTCATATGCATTTAGTAAAAAGCTGTAAATTTGACATTACAAACAGACACTTCAATTTTATTTATTTGTATAGATGTATAGATAAGTGTGTAACTTCATTTCGTATTTGCTTCATGTCGTAGATGCCCGTGCCCACGCCACCACAGCTGTGCCACTGTCTTTGTTCCGGTATTGCCAGTCTGGTAGTGTACATAGAAGTCTTTGCACATACCCCTTTAGGTGGTGGTTACCCTTATGCCATCACCACAAAGAAAAAATAATAATTTTGTTCAATAAGTCTCGACTCCATAAGCAAGTCTAGTCATTAGCATTCTTCTTTGTTTACAGATTTATTCCATTTTGCATTTTCAACTACGGCATGCGACAGGCCGATGTTTTAGGCACCTTACTTTAGTTGAGTTTAGGTTACAACAGGCTATTTTGCGGAACTCCACCTCTAAGCGTATATTTTGAATGTGGATGGGAATATTGAAGTTATTCGAGTGATGAAATCTCGCTAAAGAAGTTCGTCAGTCACTTGATGTTGCCGACTATGTCGGCGTGCCGAGATGTTTAGGCTTCTATGTGGCAACCTACCAGTAGCACGTGGACCGCCGCTTCTTCATCTGTCATACTTGCTCTGCACAAGGGTATGGCTGGTAGAGGAAGATGGATTCTCTTACGCTGCCGTTATATCTAACACAGAGAGAGTAGGAGGTTGGTCGGTAACAAAAGCATAAAATTATTACCAGTTGAGTAAGTAGCTAGGAAACCTTTCCTCTGAACAGAGGCATCGGACTTGAACACGACGTACATCTGATTCTGCGAGGCAACAACAGGATGCGGCAACTTGCTGCCGCAGAATCGACCCAGCGTCTTCTCATCTGCTGACGCGCCGTCGTATATTGACACGTGGTCGTACGTGCATTCCTGAAGACGGACAGTTCATATGCTAGTAAGTACGTAAGATATTAAGCTGTAAATAACTGTAATTATTGGTAAAAAAAAAACCGAAAACGGTATATAAACAGGTAATATAAAAGGCCAAATCCTTTTGAGTCACATTCTAGGTTATTATAGATGCAGTATGAATGGGTCAGCTCGATCGGGGTAGATGCTCGCGCAGAATACCAATAGTAAAATAGCAGGATTATAATGAAGTTTTGGTATTGTAAGTGACGAGAACCTAGAGACCTTTATTACTGGTAAAGGCTTTTAGCGGTGGCATCGTATTAGCATTTATATTCCTAGTGTAGTTTTAATGTATACATCATAAAATAGAATAAAACAAAATAGAGTAGAATATACGGCGCTGTTAAATATTCGGCGCTATTAACAAGGTAACAGCGCCGAATATATAAATAAATATATAAATAAATAATATTATATATATATATATATATATATATATATATATATATATATATATATATATAATACTTATATTAAACTATAAGTCAATTTTATAAGCTCTTATTTATCAGTTTTTCCGAATATACCTGATGCGATTCCAACTCGAAAACGTTGAAGATTAACTTGATACGGTGACCAGGAGTCGTGGAGAATTGCCAGACGCAATCCTTCCTAGAAGGATACGTGTCGGGATAGTTTGGACTGCGAACAATAAACAAAAATCTTAGATGATATTGAGTATGTATATAGAGTTTTTTCGGGCTATGTGGATGATACAGTCATGCAGTATGACTTTTGCCTAGTATGACTCCTACTCATATCTCACTAAACAGCTGTAGATGCTTAGTTCCCCAGGGCGTTCATTATATTTAATTTTATGCCCAGTGTCGCCATCATTAAAATTCTGTTTGAAATTTTATGCTGATTTTTACGTTTCGAGAAATATTTCGCGGATGGTAAAGATTATGTTTCGTAGTTACAAGTTCATAGGCATTGCTTTAAACATTTGAGTGTGCTTGAAATCGTTATCTTAGAGTTTACGAGATAAGTAATAAGGTTAACAAATATTAGATTTTTAGCTGATTTCAAAAAAGGAGTATGTTAACGCAATATTGACCCTAATTATGAACTGATTTTAGTTATTGTTTATTAAATAGCTCATAAAGAGAAATAAGGGATTTAGTTTTTAATGTAACTGATAGGTCTTTACCTGTGACAATTCCGTTCTGCACTACTGGCCATTTCAAATCAAAATAATCTTAATTTTTAAAAATCAAAATTGTTTAGCTATGTAAGAATTCTATCATCATTACAGCCCTTCACAAGTCCACTGCTGAACATAGGCCTCCCCCAAAGAATGCCACAAAGCATGGTCCTGAGCCACCTGCATCCATCGACTTCCCGCACATCTTACCAGGTCGTCACTCTATCAAGTGGGGGGACGCCCCACACTTCGCCTGCCGGTACGAGGCAGCCAGTCGAGAACCTTTCTTCCCCATCGGTTGTCGATTCTTCGAGCTATATGGCCGGCCCATTGCCACTTCAGCCTACTAATCCGTTGGGCTATGTCGGTCACTCCGGCTCTACTGCGGATATCCTCATTTCTGAGTTTATCACGCAGAGAAACTCCGAGCATAGCCCTCTGAGCGACCTTGAGCTTCCTCATCCGGCCAGCAGTGAAGGACCACGTCTCAGTTCCGTATGTCATCACTGGCAACACGCACTGGGTGTACAGTCTCGTTTTCAAATTTTGAGGTATACCTGAAAAAAAGATGTGCCGTAATTTCCCGAATGCTGCCCAACCGAATTGAATCCGTCGATTGACCTCTCGGTCGAAGTTGGACTTACCTAGTCGGACTATTTGTCCCAAGTAAACATACTCGTCAACAACTTCGAGCTTAGTGTTCCCAACAACTACCGGCATAGGTGTGACATGGACATTAAACATGATCTTTGTTTTGTCCATGTTCATCTTAAGACCTATCCGTTGGGAAACACTATTGAGCTCATTGAGCATAGTGCTCAGGTCCTCCAGCGATTCTGCCATAAGGACTTCGATCATACCGATATTGTCGGCAAATCGAAGGTGAGTGATGTACTCGCCATTGATGTTGATACCGTATCCTTTCCAGTCCAGAAGCTTGAAAACATCTTCCAATGCAGCGGTAAAGAGTTTCGGGGATATGACGTCACCCTGTCTTACACCTCTCTGCAATTGGATGTGTTTCGTACTCTGGTTCTGTACTCGGATAGCCATCGTAGCCCTACTGTACAAGCACTTCAACACTTCGATATACCGACAGTCAACTTGGCATCGCTGAAGGGACTGCAGCACCGCCCAAATTTCGACGGAATCAAAGGCTTTCTCATAGTCTACATACGCCAGACATAGTGGCAAATTGTACTCCTCTGACTTCTGTACAATTTGTCGAAGGGTATGGTCTATGGTGCTAAAGCCTTTTCGGAAACCGGCTTGTTCGGGAGGCTGGAAGTCGTCAAGTCTGCGCGTGACACGATTCGTAATGACTCTCGAAAACAGCACGTAGACGCGGCTCAGAAGGGAAATCGGTCTGTAGTTCTTCAAGAGAGCGTTGTCGCTTTTCTTGAAGAACAAGACCACTGCACTTCTGCTCCACGCCTCCGGTGTAATGCCACCATGGAGGACGGAATTTAAGAGCTTCTGAAGGACTTCAAGTACCGGTTTTCCACCCGCTTTCAGAAGCTCCGCTGTAATTCCATCCTCGCCTAGGGCCTTGCCGTTTTTAAGACGCTGGAGAGCCATTCTAATCTCGCTCAGACTGACGTCCGGGATATCATCGGAATAATGTCGGATAAGACTCGCTCTTGGATCGTTACTCACACTTGCGTGCGGCTCCAACGATGACGTGTACAGCCGCCCATAGAACCTCTCAATCTCACTCAAAATCTCAGGTGCCCCGGAAACGATGCTGCCACATTCGGTCTTCAGCTTTGACAGTTGGCTCTTTCTGGCAGACAGATCTCTGGCAAAGACTTTGGAGCCTTGGTTCCGCTCGATCGCTTCTTCAATACGAGCTATATTGAAGTTGCGCAAGTCCCGCCGCATGCATTTGGAGATCTGTCTGTTCAGTTGCCTGTATGCTGTTAAATCTGTTGAAGAATGTAGCTTCGTCTCCCGTCTAACAGCCATGACATTAAGAGTGTGATCGGAGAGTTTTTGTGTTCTTCTGCGGCGGGTCCTGCAGAACCTAGCTCCGATCGCATGGACAGTTTCCACGAGCTTGTCATTCAAATCGTCCACTGCATTGCAATCTTCTAGGCACTGGAAACGGTTTCGTAGCTCGAGCTGAAAGGTTTCGGGACTTTGGATTAGAGCACGAGGGGGACGGAGCGTTAACTTCATTAGACGAGACCTCTCCAACTTAACGTTTAGGTTCAGTGTGCCTCTAATCATTCGGTGATCGCTGCCGGTTTTCACTCTCGCGATCACTGAGACTAAGAATTCTAATATCAAATTGATTTTATTTTAAAAACATGAAATTCTTTTTTCAAAATTAGTCAATTCTTTATTGATGAGCGTCATGTTTTTATCGCATTCGAATCTTTTTCGTCATCATGGATACGTTAAAAATTCGAGTAATTATGGAATATGAGTACCGTTGTGGCAGCAACGCAGCACAAGGGCACGCAAAATCAACGACGTTTACGGAGCGAATACTACAAACGAACGCACCTCCTGTTATTGATTTGCCAGCTTCTGTTCAGAGAAATTCGACCTAAAAAATTAACCCCGTGGTCGTCCGAAAAATTTGGTCGACAATGACGAATTAAAGTCGATTATGAAAGTTGAACTAACAGTAGCTTTCGACGTTAGCATCAAAGCAATATTAGTCTATTTGCGTTGAATTGTCTAGGTAAAAAAGCTTGACAAATGTGTGCCCCAGAAACTCAATGACCGACAGCGCGAACTACGCTTCGAGACGTGCCTTGCACTGCTCAACAGGCACACGAACGAAGGAATTTTGAACCGCATTGTTACCTGCGATGAAAAATGGATTCTGTTTGACAATCGCAAGCACTTGTCAAGTTGGTTGGATCCTGGTTAGGCACCTAAACAATGCCCTAAACGAAAACATAACCGTAGAAAACGAATGGTCACTGTTTGGTGGTCTAGCGCCAGTGTGATATACCACAGCTTCTTACCAAATGGGATGAGCATTACTGTAGATGTGTACTGCAAAGAACTGAACCAGCTTTGGACAATCACTCGGCCCCGCAGTTCCTGCACGACAACGCAGGACCTCAAACTGCACAACAGACGGTGTCAAAGTTACAAGAGCTGGGGTAGGAAGCTGTCCGTCATCCGCCATACTCACCAGACCTTGCGCTTACAGACTTCTACTTTTTATAGGATTTGGATAACTTTTTGGCGCCAAAAAAATAAATACCCGAGAGGCAGTACAAATGCCTTGGAAGAATTTGTTGCCTTCCGTCCAGCTGATTTCTTTAAGAAGAGCATTAATAAACTGTCACTTCTTTTTGTCATCTATTGCATGGGTGATTACTTTGATTAACAGAAATAAAAAACAAAGAAATAAATACGTTAACTTATTTCATAAAAAAACGGCATTTTCACAGATAAATACCAATATATAGGTAATTAATTATGTATAAAAAAATAGCATTTGACATTGCTGAGTCCATTTAAAAGGGTGAAATAAATAAACTTTGAAAAAAAAAACATTTGTGCAGTTCACACGGGGTAGAAGCGAATGAAATGAAAAATGAAATGAAATATAAAATAAAAATATTTCACGGCAAATGATTTATTTAATATAATCATTTTCAATCACAAGTGCGGCATAAAATATAAGATAAACGTTTAATTTTATAACAAATAAATGTTACAATCCTTATTTATAGAATTAACTTTAGTGTAATAAATCAAAGGAATATTTTATTTTTGATAAAATTGCTTTGTTATAGCGCCATCTACTTCATTCTGTAGGTAAAGTCTTTTTATCGAACAAAATTTGGTTGACTCTTAAAGTGGTACTCGTACGTATAATAGACGCTCGATGGCATGAATTTATGAAATCGTCGATTGGTATAAATCAATTGGTATATTAAAATAATTTTATTCAATATGGTCAATTTAATTTATTTAATAAATTTGTTAATTTTTGTTTGTTTATTTTAACAGTTAAAATATTAACCATCTTTAAAACACCGCATAAAGAGGAGACCGAAATAATAGGAAACACTATTTTCTCGTTACTTCGTTAATTTACTTCAAGGTAGAACCACTCAGACTAAATAGCGTTTAATGAGACCAGTGACGTAGCATATAATCTGACATTACATAGGTTGAAAGAAAACAGATTGCTATAGAATTCTTAAAAATTGTCAAGAGCAGAATAAAAAAAAGTTGGATATTTTCAATTCAGTTCCATTTGTACGTGGTAGAGCCATGCTGCAGCTATATAAGTAGTATAGTTGTAGCACGAATGAGTCGGCTTGACCGGGGAAGGGCCATGATCTCACAAAATACCAGTGTAAAATAGCAGCTTAACACTTCTGTGTTTCGTATGGTGAGTGTAGAGAACCGGAGACCCATTTTACTGTAAAAGCCTCACGGGTGACGACGCCTTTGCATTTTGATTCTTTAGTGAGGATAAATGTAGATGTTTATGAGTCACAGCAACCACTTACCATCAGGTGGACTGTGTCCTCGTTTGTCACCCTATCATATATAAAAAAAAAAAACTTCAAACAAAAAGAGCTAAAAACAAGTGATAAAATTAAAAGTTTTGTACAATCGACTTCAATATAAATTATTAAGGATAACTCAAAAACTACTAGTGAGACGTTGATCAAATTTATATGGAACTACACAAGAAGTATTAGCTTTCAAATAAAGATAGAATAATCAAAATCGGTTCACCTAGAAAAAAGTTATGAGGTAACACACATAAAAAAATACAGTCGAATTGAGTACCACCTCCTTTTTGAAGTCGGTTAAAATACGATGTCATCTCTGAACACTAAGATGGACTGTACCACATTCTGTAATTATATTGGATCTCTATACCCTCCAGACCGAACACAACAGTACAGGCACTGTTGTTTGGCGGCAGCAATAACTAAAAGGCCTTCTTTCTTGACTTACTCCTATGGTAGAAAGGCGTCCTCCTACCTATTTTTGCATTTTTAACACATCTCTAATATTAGGACCGGGGGGAGGTGGGGGGGGGGGGGGGCTACGTTTAGTAGTGAAATTGTGATGGGCTGTTGTTACTTAATCACCATAAACGGCTAGGGTGGTGTGTTGTCCACGCGTGTAAGTACAATTTAGGGAGCACCAACAAAACAATTAATATATAGTAATCGAGACGGCCGGTAGACAACGTCCGCTTGCACTGGCAACGGGCAAAAAACCGGCCAAGATTCGTGCCTGAAATGTACAAGATTTAATACTATGTAGGTACATTTTAAATATAATTTTATTTTATTATTTTTTTTTTTAGCGAATATAGCAATACAAACTCTGTAAGCATTCCAAGCGTCTACTTGGTGTCATTATTAAGATTGAGCAAAAAAAAGCAAAAAAAAAAAAATAACACGTTTCAAGTATGTAGCTCCCTTTAATTTTTAATTTATTTTTAATTTTATTATTTGTTGTTATAGTGGCAACAGAAATACACACTCTGTGAAAATGTTATTTTGTTACGGATCATGAGATACAGTCCGCTGACAGACGGACGGACGGATGGACAGCGGAGGCTTAGTAATAGGGTCCCGTTGGTCCCGGAACCCTAAAAAGGAATATTTATATACGGGCCTATAAAAAGAACAAGATACCTGAATATGGTGCCGTGCGGATGCGTGATGTCGTGCTTGCAGCCGCCCTCCTTGCAGTCGCGCTTGTTGTGGTGCAGCGCGAAGCCGCTGTGACAGGCGCACTCGAAGCCGCCCAGCGTGTTGCGGCACTCGTGCTGGCAGCCGCCGTTGTTCTCCGCGCACTCGTCCACGTCCACGTAGTACGTGGCCGCAAAGCCCGAGTGGTGCACCGACGTGTCCGATGTGAACTGACAAATATACGCTTTTTTAACGTGGCACAGCTATGCTGCAGCTATATTATTGTATAATTGTAGTACGAATGGGTCGGCTCGACTGGGTAGGACTAAGCTTTCACAGAATACCAATGTAAAATAGCAGCTTAATGCTGTTGTTTCGTATGGTGAGTGTTACAACCGTGTTGTAAAATCGGAGGCCCTTTTTACTGTATAAGAGGCATTCCATCTTCGTCCTCACGGTTGACAACGCATCTGCATTTTGATTCGCAAACGAGGACAGATGTGTAGGTGTCTATGGGCCACAGCAACCCTTATCCTATATATTAAAAACAGACTAATATAGGTCGCCCCCATAGATTGCCCCATTTGCCATAGTTGACACGCCTGTCGAGCACAACAGAGCTGTCGTTCATATCAACATCACATCCCCTCAGTGTGGAAACACTGTTAAAAATCAGTGCAAACTAAGGCTGGTCTATTTCATGGTTATATATATATATATAAAAATATAATAATTATTTGTTAATCTTTTTAGGTTTAAAATAGGTAATTGTATAGTCATAAGTCTAATTCTTTTGTTTTTTTTTTTGTATTAAATTTATTTTTTTGTAAGTTATTCTTAAGACCAGGTTGGACAACATTAACATATTTTAGATATGATTTTACGCTTGTAAATGCTCAATTAAATTCTTAATCTTTAAAATCTTGAAGAAAAATCCATCACCGGGAAATAACTATGACGATTGACTTCTAATTTTTTATAAAATATTTTTCTAAACAGACCGACAAAAATTTACAATTTTTTTGTTTTATGTACCGTATATACTTTCATATGCATTTAGTAAGAAGCTGTTATTAGATTTATTGCGTTAAAGCACGCCATTGCTAGTGTTGTGTTTGTTTGTTTGCGTACCTGCACGCGCAGCACGGAGCCGTCGGAGGTGACGGGCGGCGGCAGCGCGGAGCCGCAGAAGGCGCCGTGCCGCCGCAGCACGTCGTCGCCCAGCCGCGAGTGCACCGTCACGCTGTCGTACTCGCACTCCTGACAACGTACATTCCATTCCACAAGTTAACGCTAAACATATCCTAAACATGTTAATCTGTAACGAAGATGTCTGCAGTCGAACCAGAGAAACCGTCATACGGCCAAATACTCAAACGCTACTCAATTTTAAAATGTCTTTTAATTTTCTGCTCACCAGATGTCGCTCGTTGACACTGAGGTAAAGTTTTTTGTTACACAATATAATTTAATTGAGAAGTTGTTTTTTAATAAAAGTTTATCAGTTTCTAGACTGTTATATTAACATACAAAATAATGCGTCAGTGTTTTGCTCTTTAATTTTTTGTACATATTTAAGATTTTTTAAATTTTTCTACTTTTATGAATATCTACTTTGGTTTATTTATTTTTAATGTTATTAATATAAAATATAGCTAATAGTACAAAAAGAAACAATAACTTTTACATTTTCCGAACAAATTAACTTCCTCGCTATGAAATCTGTCAAATATTATACCTCACTTTCTAGTGGAGCCGCCCTGGTGGCAAAAAAGTCGTGGACGCCCTCATTGAGCAGCGTTTGAGTATTTGGGCAATAGTCCAACAAATCAATAAGCTGTATTAGCAATACGACCGGTAACAAGTAAAGCGCATGTACGGCAGATATCTGACGGTAATTAATAGCAGCTCTATTAATTACCGTAGAGGTTCATCATCATCATCATTATCATTAAAGCCTATTAAAATCCATTTCTATTGCCTCATAGGGAGACACTTGCCAAAGTTGCCACGCTTGGCAGGCGCATTGCAACAGCTGTTTTTTATTATTTTGTTACCAAGAAGATGCACCTGCTCATATCCTGTTTCATTTATTTTTTCCGCCTCTTACGACACCCACGGGACAATGGGTCAATCTGCCTTGTAGTGAACACGCTTAGCTTAGAAGTTGAAATGTGATAAAGATATAAATCGACTTATTTAGAATGTTTATTGCCAAACCAAATTTATAAGGTTTCTGTGAGTTATTTTAGTTCAAATCTTTCCTCAGAGGTATCTAGACAAATAAATATCTAGATATTTATTTGCAGCGTAGTAGGGTGTTCATAAAGTAGATACACTTCCTGCACATATGTTTTGTACAATGAGAGCGGTTACCATACCGTAGGTAGTCTTTGAACTATTATGGATCTTTGACGGAAGATCTTTTTCCAAATATTTCAAAAGTGAATTTTAAAAACTTGTTAAATTAAAAAAAAGCTAGTAACTAATTAAACTGTACAATTACCTGGTGGTACATATTGTTGGTGCCTTCAAGGTCAAAATGCGTGAAGTTTAGAGTGATGCGATGTTGAGGCGGTGCCACGATCTCCCACAGGCAATTCTTCGATGGCGGGTACAGGTCCGGGAAAGATGGTGACGTGATGGTGCCGTTAGGTGCGTATAATACACCGCCACATGCATCTGAAAATGGTGATATTAATTCTTCAAAGGCCCAAATTATTTGTTTTATGACCAACAATTATAATAGCCTATAGCCGAACTTCCAAAAGCTTGTATATTATGAAAGTGTATAGTCTCCGCCGCTAATATTATGTGAATGCGTGGCCCTTTCCTCAGTTTAGCCGATCTTAAGCTAGGTCTTAGTCGAGCTTACTTGCTATGTCTTAACCCCATTATCTATAGAATGCGGTTTCGGCGCCTGCACCCTGCCTCTAGCCTCTGCCTGGCGCTTTCCCTAGTGACCATTCACCGTTCCGGTGTTCCCTCTGTCCTAAAGACGACTTAGTTGTCATGCGCCTAATGGTTTTGGTCATGTATGTGGCGGCGCTGTCGTCGCGCCACAAGCGAAACATATCGAAGCCTAAATCGCGCTAACAAAGTTCCGATGTTAAAGCAGTATATATAGAATAGCTCCACCCTACCACTCGGAGCATTGGCCGCTGCTCGGGCAGAACACCCTGCCCGGCGGAAGATCTCCCCTTTACCTTCCACCGGCTACACGCAGTAGGTATTTATTCAATTATAATAATGTACCAATAATAGAAATTTTGGTTTTCAAGTCATTTTATGATAGAGTGGGTAAGTAAGTCCTCTGGCAAGAGTGCAAGTGATGACCAGACCTTGGATTAACACTTCTTCTTTATTGGTCCGTGAAAGTCCCCTTCTGAAGGCCTCTCCTATTGTAGGAAAAATTTGCCTAAATCAGCAATCACGGGGATGGAAGTTAGGCTACATGGGGATTGACAGTATTATGTACCAGATGTCTTGGACTTTAGACACCGCTGACCGCCGTCGGTTAAAAAACTAAAATAACACGTATTGACCGTGAGCTATGACGATCCTACTGAGAGTACTAAGTCGCAGTCATAAAATTCTCGTAATATCATCAGTTATTAATACATCCGCAAATTTTCAGATTATTCTGATGTCGCAAAGTAGGGCAATTCGAACACAGAGGAGCGCACGTTTGGGAAAATTTCTAATAAAAGTAGAAGCCTTATTAAATCGTATTTTCAAAAACTGCAATAACGGTGTATTTTTTTTTTGCCTGCCTTTTTAATGACTTCTTTCACATTAACTATAGCTCAGTAAGTAATGACATGAATTACATGGTATGCTACTGTTTTAGAATCCTCGTGATGTAGGCAAACTTTTTAAATGGTTGGCCACACAGATCTCATACGTTTTTTTTCACCACAGGTGCTCAAAGGAGGTTGGTCATATCGTACCAGACGATGAAACGACAGCGTCACTATATGCTATATTTATGATAAATACCCTTATTTTTTAAGCTCTTAAAAACACAAAAAATACCTATCTAAGTAGCTACAAAAAAAGTTATCCTTTTATTTTTGTTTATGTCACTGTTCCGAAATTATTTAAAATAATGGTTTCTGAACGCACTGGAACGCACCTAATGACGATTCATTTCACGTATGAAAGGATTTTGTATTCAAAGACTATAATTATACACGTTTTTCTGAATAGTTGTTAATTGTAATTCAATTTAATTAGTATGTAGGCACCAAATCAACTACTATACTGATTTATTATGTACTGGATTCATGTCACAAAAATAATTATGTAGCTTCATAGTAAGCTAAGCGTTTTGTTCAATTACGTACAACGGAACATCATTTGTCATCAACAAGTTACATAATCTGTGATCATCGATCGACATCATTGATTGTCACCAGGCAATCATCTAGATATCTATTTATCTATGGCAATCATTCGCATCATCTTATTTGCTTCTCTCGTAATTGTGGATCGTGATACGTACTGAACTATTATAGATTTCCTTCTGTTGTTTTGACCTCGGCATTGTTTTACGGACTGATAACTACCACTTGTAACGATTATTCTGTGCTTTTAATTTCTGGACATATCATGCAGACTACAGCTACACAACAACGACAACTAGCCGTGTAATTGCTACGAGTATGTGTTAATTGTAACATATGCATTGATACACTTCGCCACCATCTTGTTTTTGAGCTTGATACTAGAGTAATTTCTAAGATCTGCAAGTGGAATTCTTCAGTAATAGTACATATTTACATACCTCCTTATTTTATTACACTAACACAAACCATCATACACAATCGTACATCATAATACAAATCTAATTCTTATTTTAGATCACTGAAGACGATTACATATATGATGCTAACCTCAAAAGTATTGTTGACGTTATTATAAAAAATTGTGGCTATTTAAATATGATTTTCAAACAGGATGGTGTTTACAACATAAAAATAAACCAATCTATCTACAGTTTGTTTTGGGACATGAAAAATAAAAGTTAAGTCCAGCTCCCATAGAAATTTGGCCATTGTTCTTTAGCAGTTAAATAAAGTAAAAGATTAAAACTTATGTTTAGTGCCGTCTTGTAAAATACTATCCATAGTAGGTGAAAACTTTTAAGGGTAATTTAGAAACATCATTATTAGGGAACAGATTAAAAGAAAAAAAATCCGGTCTAGGCATTAAACTGCGGACGTGATATCCACAAATGTGAGCAGAAGTACGAATTTTCGGAATTTTATAAAACATGGCGTAGAGCGAAACCGTTTGGGATAGAAATTTTTTTAGGGAAACGAGGCCACTTCCCCCCGCCCGAACACGTACGTACCAGCTTATCCACCATTAAGTATAAAATTTGGAAAATAACCCTTTCTGAAATAAACTTCAAATCACACTAAGAAAGTGCGCACATAAATAATAATAGCATTTTCTTAGTCATTTAAAAAAAAAAACAGTGTTAGATTGTCGAAAACAACGTTTGCGGTTTACAAGACATAGAACTAGTCTTCTCGCTCGTACGCAGTCGTAGTCGAAGAGTTACGGAGATCGGAGAATCGACCGTAGCTTAGTGCACAATGTATTAAGGCCGCAGCATCTGTCTAGTAGAATACGAGTACATAGAAGTCATAGAAGAAGACAACAAAAGCGTGTTAGCAAAATACATTAAGCATCTCGTAATCGACTAACTCTCGCATTTCTTGCCGTCGGAGTGCAGTTCGTAGCCGATGTCGCAGGCGCACTCATAGCCGCCCAGCGTGTTCACGCACGAGTGGCTGCAGCCGTGGTCGATGGACGCGCACTCGTCGAACTCCTTCATGAACGTTGCCGAGAAGCCTGCCTTCTGCACAGAGCTGTCCGACTCGAAAATCACTAGTAGTTTGTTTGACGTCGATCTGGAATCGATAAAAGACATTTTATTTTGATGTAAAATTTTTAGGTAAAAACAAAACGATTATTTAGAATGAAAGTAAAAAAAAAAATCACACGTGTACTCTAGTTGATCACGACGTAATAATTACAGAGAATAACTTACAAAATTAACTTACAGAATTAAAGTTATCAAAAATTGTATACAGAAGCGGTAAAATTTCAATGGGAAATTCACGCAGTTCGGAAAAATAATGAATGTTTTCGAAGGTAATTCGTCAGACGAAAAACAAATTTGGAAAAAGATGTGGAGACTGTGGCTCAGAAATTTTAACCATAACGGGGCAGCCAATAGACTCGTGGACAAAAAAAGGTAATAAGAGAGGTAGGGAGAAATAAAGAAAGCAAAAAAGTTACCATATTATTATAATATAATTTAACACCAATCGAATAAGCGCAAGTAGGTTTAGGCATATTTCGTGAGGACGAAACATTAAATATGTAAAGTAAAAGTAAAATCACGTTCTACTACTGGGCACAGGCCTCCTTTCATTTCTGATAAGTATCCATCGTGCTGCCCCAATGCGTGTTGGCAGATTCCACATTACATCTAAATATTTTTTTTTAATTTCTTAGACATGCATGTGATGTTTTTACTTACTTTGCAGGATGATTTTTAAATATATGTTTTTTCAATGTGATCCATAATTTATAAGTAGTGTCCTTCGACAAGGGACTATAATTTTTAAAATAATCAAAATTGAAATATGCTATGTCTATTTCACTAAGTTCGGGATTAATCTAATGTTTAGGATAGAAATACTTTACCTGATATCTGGTGGTATTTTGTGTCCACAAAACATACCGATGAGCGGACTGTCCATAGAATCACCATCTCTAACTTTCACTTTGTCATAATTGCAAGTATCATGGTTCTCCACTTCAAACGAATGAAACCGCAATGCTACTTGGTAGTCCTGCAAATACGATGAAAATGTAATTAGCCAAAAATATTTTGAAACTAAAAACAGATTGTGAACATATAACATAATTGAAATTTAGGGATGGTATGCTGACAGACGTAAGCAAGGAAACAAAGTCCAATTAAATAAAATAATTTAAGTAAAGAACATTTAATCTTTATTGCATTCACAAGTTGAGGTTTATAGAGGGCAAACCTAATGACTTTAACATTTTCTACCACTTAATCTTTGGACAAATAGGAAAAATAGTGGCAGGTGTAAATTTAGAGTAGAAATAATGACTATAAAACAATTTTAAATTAAACAGTTTTCACTACAAATTAAATTTTTTTATTGAAATTAATTTACGTATTATATTTTACTCGTACTTATACTATATTCGTGTATGATTGGCTTTTGTTACGTTAAGACAGTGCGATTTACCATCTAGGGTTTCACCACCATTTATCTCCAGGTGGGATTATGGTCAAGCACTGGCTAATATTAAATATATTATAAGTTATTATATAAATTATTATTTCGGGCCGATCTTTTAATGGAATCTTGTTAAAAATTTAATGATTGATGCCCGTTGACATTGATAAAACAATAAAATAAGAATTAGTTAAGCGGACGAGAGTGATATTGCTAAGCGAATGAATAATAGAAGAAAATGTAAATGTTGGTGACGTGTTGAGTGAAATGTCTCTTTGTATATTTCGACCGTCGATGCTACAAGGAAATGTTTAGTTAATTTGGTTCGGTAATTGTTGATGAAATCGATGTATACTCGACATGAAAACTACTCGGTCTGTCCACAAAAACACAGTTACATGATGACAAGTATCGGATGATATGATCAACATTAGTAAGATCATGACAAAGTTGCATCGCTACAAGCAAGTCAAACAACTCATTAGAATAGAATAGAATCATTTTTATTCAATATAAATTACAAGAATACTTATTAAAAGTCATTTAGGCACTTGTCCCACCACCGTTGAGGAAACTATTAGCTATCGAATATTTTCTCGCTCAAGAAACGATGAATAGGTAGATCCCTTGTCTATAAAAGAGACACATATATTAATAGTTGATCGTTGACCGTTCCACACAGCCGGCGAGAACTCTCTCTCTACTCTAACTCTAACTCCCAATCAAAACTCACCCCGAAGGACCAAGCAGCGGTCATTTTACTCTACAGTGTAGATCTGAGTGTACTCGCTTAAAGCCCAGCAATAAAACTATCACAACACGCACTCATTTCTTGCTACTCACCAACTCTTATCTAGTTTCTAGCCCTACTCGCTTCTCTTTCATCCTTGGCGGTGGGACAAGTGCCTTAACCTTTACCACTGGTTCGGAAAAAACCTCTCCTAATTTAAACGTGTTAATTGATACCTATTAAATCTGCATGATAATCAAATATGTTTCGTATATTTTTTCACTGATGATGTGATTATAAGTCTTATCAAAGAATGAAAATAATGAAGTGCTTAATGATATATCTTTTTATATTCTGAACTGAATTAGAAAGTGCATTTTTATGATGATTGTATATTTTTCTTTCTGCTTTCTTACCGATGAGTTGGAATCCGACTTTGCATGCAAAGAATTCACCAAGTGTTTTCATATAGTTTTCAAAATTTAAGACAAATGTCAAAAAGCATAACATGTCAAAAGCATGCGTACAAATTGACTTACCTGTGGCACGGAAAGCCTCCATACGCATAACTTATTGGGCTGGTAATCATCGGGATAGTTTGGCGACTCCAAATGGCCGCTGTTATCAACCTCTATGTCACCGCCGCAAACCGCTGTAAAGTTACAAATTTGTGTAAAATTAGAAGCACCTCTGTTTCATCATCAATCATATCCAATGTCATTATTGGCGCAATTTACAAATTATTGGCTTTGGTTATTGACTTTTTCTATTCAACTAAAGGTGACAAACTATGTAGTGACGGTGTAAGAATATCCACTACCCCATATTGTCCCGTGGGTATTGTAAGTGGCGACAGAGGGAAACTGAAACAAGACTGGGGCAGCAGGATCTTCCTGATATCAACTAAGAATTATAAAAACTGCAGTTGCCGACTTTCCTGCCCAGCTATGCAACTATGGCCAAATACCCCCTATGAGATAGTGAACTTTTTAGGCTAAAATATCTGTACAACACCGGGCACCTACTAAATCAGCACTTTATATCGCACTTAACAATACCGTAGGCACTGGCAGGAGCAAACTTGTTTTTCCGTCCCGTTCCATCCTGTCAAGTACTACGGTACACAACGAAGTTTAGCATTGTACAAATGACCGATAAAAATAAATCGCCTTTATTAAATTCTTCGAGAAATCAGATTTTGTTTTCCCCAATCGTTAGGTACCTACAGGAGAAAACGTCTTGATAATTGAGTTTTTGTTGATGGATCCGTGGGGTGAGTGTATTGAATTATCGAATCTTTATTGGATTCGGCCCAAAATATTCTGGTATAATTTCATAAGTTTTACTCAATTATTGAGTGAAGCTTTGTAGAGATATTAAAGAAAGTACTATTTAGTGCTTTGTAGTAATGAGACTTATGGCAGGTGCTGATGCAGGTGCAGGTAGGAGAATGGATGTTAATTATTATATTTTTTCAACTGCATGTAAAGTTAGACTATTGATTTGATTAAAAGTAAGTAAGTAAGTCAGTTTATAGTGGTAGACACACGGCAACTTTTGCTATTGCACGTATGGACCGGCTCGAACCGGGGTGGTACCACGATCTCACAGAATATCAGCGTGAAGTAGAAGCTCTGCTTCTGCGTTTCGTCTGGTGAGTAATGAGCATCCACGACCAAGCTAATACACTCCTAAGCGCGGGTGCTTAGACTGCCCCGCGTAGACCGAGACGCAGATGACATCTCCGGCAGATACTTTGTATGTCTCCTACCCGGGGTACAAATGGGAACACTTCTTTGCGCTTCAGACTGGAGTTTGCGTATATGTCAGAGAGGACATCTGTTCTCGACACCCGGCAGTCTTGAAGGTTCGGACCTGTCCATTCTTTGGCTACGCGTAGACAGCGACGGCACTTCTACGGGTGCTTTTATAGGTCCAACAGCGGCTATACGGACACAGACCGACTCATCGACCTTGTCCAGATGACTACAGATTCCTTGCTACAACAGATCCCATCCGAAATGATCGTGATCCTTGGCGATTTTAACACCCACCACGCTGAGTGGCTCGGTCCACGTTTAACCAATCATGCGGGGAGATCTGTTCATGACTTTGCCTTGGCATATGGTCTGACACAACTAATTACTTCGCTTACGCAGATTCCAGATGTGTAAGATCATGCACCAGCCCTTTTGGAGCACTCAAACGGACGGATATCAGATCTCCATCGACGGTCCTCTTGTCTCCTCGGATCATTGTCTAGTCCGGAGTAGGGATGTTACGGAAGTGGTTATATCGGAACCGAATTCGGAAGCGGAGTTTAAAAAATTTTGTTTCTCGGAATCGGAACCGAAATCGGAACCAGAATCGGAGCTGGAGGCGGAAGAGATGTGTCCTTAACACATCTCTTCCGCCTCCAACTCCGCAGGTCTAATGCACTGTATTTTTCTTTTCAGTTTATATTTTTTAAATCCTTCGCATTCAGTGGCATGCACAGACTTTAAATGACTTATTAACGAAGTAGTCGTACCTCCATTTCGTGAATATATCTTCTCACATAGTTAACACTTTGCCGTATTCTCAGAAATTTCATTGAAATAATTCTAAATTGCACTTGATTTTGGCTTCATTGTCGGATCCAAATAAATTTATTACACGTCAAATAAAACACAACTAAAACTAATTAAAAACTCGGATAGGTATAAATGAAGTGCAAACGCACTACATGCCAATTGCCAAATACGAAAAAAAAACATCAATTTAACGAGTAATCGACAGAAGGCACGGGGGGATGAAGGTTCCAGGGCGAAAAGTATTAAATTGTTTGTACAATGTACACGCTGATCGCGGCCGCCGCCGCCACTGTGGTTCGACATCCGATATATAACTTCCGATTAAAATTTAACGGAACCGAAATCGGAATCGAAGGTGCAAATCAATCGGAAGTTTCGGAATCGGAATCGAACCTCCGTAGCATCCTTAGTCCGGAGTTACAGACGAAGGATCATTTTTTTGTGCTATAAATTTATTTCAAAGCGTCTTCTGACTAGATCTTGCCTAGAGTGCGTGACCTACAAGGTAACTTAGTTTGCTTGTAATATATTGCTTTCTACATGCTGCAGACTGTATGATATGTTAAGTGTTTTTTTTTAATTAATTGCGTGTAATTTAATTTTTCTTTTCATTTGATATAAAACTCAAAAATACACAAAATAATTATAAAAACAAACGGACGTTAACTGATTCCACTGAATTAGATTTTTTTAGAATACCTACTCGCTATTCAAAAGAATTTCTAGATGACGAAGTCATCATGCTAAAAAAGCTTGAAAATGCTTTTTGTGTGTTTTATGTATTCTAGTGGTCGTCTAGTGGTTAAGATTCGAACGTAGATCATTAAATTTTTAGGTTTGTTGTACGTCACATTCAACTGCACGTTAATATATAAAACACAGAAGTCTAATTTATAAAATTTGTTAAAATATAAAATAAACTTTTTTTTACCATAATATACTCCATAGACTATTGAAATAGGAACATTAGAAATTATACAAAATTCACAGCCCATTCAGTCAATCTGTTTGGCAAATATCTCTACACTATTAAATTCAAACACTTACTAATTTGTGGTCAAGCAGACCACAGACTAGTAAGTGTTTGAAATTGACTTTGGATAAATAACGTATATATGTTTGTATTTATACTGAGACATTGGTTTTCTATTTATTAAGTATTAGCTTTCTATACTCCTTCTCATATAAACTTTAACTATGCCAAATCTCACTCTCCTTCATGCGCGCAATATTTTTAAAAAAGGGTACAAAGTTTCCCTTTACGTATTAATACTTATATAAATGTTTAGAATTAAAATGAGTGTGTACAAGTAACTTAAGTCTTTAAAATATGTTTCTTACCTTCATAATGAGCCCGGAATCCTCTATGCGGCTTAGGCCTTAAGCCCGGTTGATAGACGACGGTAAGCCGCGAGCCAGTCGACCTCATCATCGGACCTTTTCCAGAGCCACAAATCCGTCCCAGAACGGGCGCGTTCGGCATGTACCCATCTCGGACCTCTACCCACTCCGAGCGGCATCCGTCCGATTTGTGAATGTCGATTTCTATAAACAAACACAATGTTACCACTTTATAAACCAATATTAGTGTGTAATGACTGTACTATTACACACTAATATTGGTTTATAAACATACTGACCGTGGAGAGACTGCATGCCAAAGAATATGTGTACGTAAAAAAGAAAAAAGAATAAAAACAAAAAAGGAACGACGGACGATATGTGTGCTCACCTAAATAACATTTTTAATATAGTTTTTAATTAAATAAAAATCAATACTAAAAAATAATTTTTATAAAAAATTACGTTGTATTTTTGGATATTATAGTCCCATCGAGTTCAAGTTTTATTGAAGTGACACACAGTAGAGTAATAAAGCTGCCTTGGCAGCAGTTGTTCAGCATTTTACGGTAGGTGTAAATAAAAGTACAAATAACGGTCAACATTATTAGATATTATGATAATCGTAGTGATTATATTCTCTTTGATGATAATTTACAGTTGATCACACTAGATAAAATTATAGTTAAACATTATACACTTGTAAATAACTAGTATCACTTCTGATCGAAATTCCTCGATTTTATTAATTGTTTAAATCGTTTTGTATGGAAAAGTAGTGTGTATGTTCTTTTTATTTTAGGTATACTTACCTTAAATACATCAATTTTTTCTGCAGATATCTGGTACATAGCCTTTCGAATGGTATAAGTTTCATTCGCTTTTTATAGCGATCTTAATAATTTTATTATCTATATCGGTTGTGTAATAAAACTGAAGTGACGAACATTGAGCTATTATGTATATTACTTCAATGGTGACGAACGAACTTATAATCTGTACCTGTAGCCACTTACCATCCACCTGGTGGTAAGTGGCTACTACAGTCCATGAACTCCTGCTGCCAACTTCAAACAAAGAAGGCTACAGGTGCTGAGGATGAGGATGGAATGGAATGCCCCACATCCTGAAATTATACTAGTTTACTATACTCTTCAGTTCGGAACGGTAAGACCGGAAGGGGTAACTAGTTAAGAGAGTGGTATCCACCTAGATGGATATCTAGGCATAAAAGGAGTTCCACTATCCACCATGTCCTACCACGCGAACACCTTGGATTGAATGTTTTGGGTAATAAGGCTAATCATTGATTATTGAGTAAGAAAAATAGAGAAAGAAACATAATCTCTTAATATAAATGATTACAAAACATAATGTTCATAGAAATATTTAGTTGTCAGCACATTCGTGTTCCTTTGGAAAAAACACCTGGTCTAATGTCATTGTGTAATGTAATTGTCAATGTGGTTTAATTGTCACTAAAAAGTCTTTTCATTAATCGGCACTTAACTTGACAAAATTTGACTTCGGCAGCTAGGTTGGAGCTCGCTGGGCGCCAATACGTGTTTTGCTCTATTCCGATCTGAATATTGTATAATATTCTATATATAAAGTTATTAGTATATAAAGTTATTAAATATAATATATAATATTCAGACATTATACATATTTTAGTATCCTACTTCTACTTTTCAAAAACTATCAGTTGGACTGTAAGTTCGTTTGTTACCTTACTTTGAAAAGAAAATAAACATAACAAACATTTTTCATAGTGGTAGAGCCATGCTGCAGCTATATTAGTAGTATAGTTGTAGCACGAATGGGTCGGCTCCACCGGGGAAGGACCACGCTCTCACAGAGTACCAGCGTAAAATAGTAGCTTAACTATGCTGTGTTTCGTATGGTGAGTGTAGATAACCATACATACATACATATAATCACGCCTCTTTCCCGTAGGGGTAGGCAGAGACCAGTTCTTTCCACTTGCTACGATCCTTACATACTTGTTTTCATACCAATTTACCTGTCCGGTAGTTGTGGTATGGTATACGGGTATGCGACCCCGGCTTCCCTAGCTATTACTGTCCTATCCCGTGCCCTCCTGGACGGTAATATCCTACATTTCCTATTTCCTACCCTAACTTACCTTACTCTTCCTTTTCACACCACCTATCCTTCCCCTTTTCCTATTCCTACCCTCCGCCAATCCAACGTCTGCCGCGCGGATGGATGCATGGCTAGGGGCGAGCCTAGTCGTTAGCGTGCCACACTGCCCTGGGACCGGGCGACCCCAGAATTAGGCTAGCCTTACCCTGGCATGCGGGGCTCTGCTGGGGGGGACAAACCTTTCCCTCGCTATTCGTGGAAACGCAATGGATAATCGTAAAAATAATTTAATTAACCAAAATGGCGGCGATGTGGTTCGCCACCCATCACGTCTCGTTTCTCGCGGGGGCGAAAAGCGGCCCACGGAGAGCCGCTTCGCTACGTTGAATGTAAGAGGAGGAATGGATGGTAAGGTAGATGAAGTATGTCAGATGATGGATGAACGTTGCATTGATATTCTGTGCGTGAACGAAACCAAGAGGAAAGGATGTGACACCACGGTCCATGGCCCCTACACGGCATACTGGTCGGGAGTCCCCCAAACCAGCCGAGGCTGTCAGGGAGTTGGTGTGATTCTTTCATCTCAAATGGTTGAATGTGTGATGGAGCATGAATGTATAAGCCCAAGACTCCTCTGGATTAGGTTAAAAGTCGGACTCACTCGCTAAAGTAGATAACCGGAGATCCTTTTTACTGGAAATGAGGCATTCCATCTTAGTCCTCACGGGTGACAACGCATCTGCATTTTAATTTTTAATAGAGGATAGATGTAGATGTCTATGGGCCGCACCAACCACTTACCATCAGGTGGACTGTGTGCTCGCTTGTCACCCTTATCTTATAGAAAAAATACATAAATTATTGGAAAATATAAAACAAACATGCGTGAGTGTCGTGAAATAAACCGTCGTTGACGTTCGCCCCTTTGCGGCGTTGGCGACGACTCGGTTGGAACGAAATTCCTTTCGTAGTACATATATTATTATTGATTAACAAATACAAATAAATAAATTACTAGAGTCCATTAAAATGAAGCGTCATTTAAAATAAAATACTATTTCTTTCATAGCAAGATAAGAAAAAGTGCGAGGGAAATGGATACTACGTCAGAAGGGGTCGTGACGGAAAAATCTTATACTTTTTCTCGCCTGAATTCATACCGTCCGATAAGGAACATCGTTCCAAAAATGATGTTGTATATGATGTAGAGTGTTTAGTTTTATATTTATAGTCTTATGTTTATATATAGAGTCTGTATTTAGACTGGCTCATTGGACTAGTGATTGTAAGTGCAACAACTGATCCGGTTCGTGAAGAAATGACTGAAGTGGTAACGGGGTACCGGCACGAGTCAATATCAATTATTGAGTTTTTTCCGTCAAAACATTCTCAGTAGCAGCCCGGAGTCTTTTTTTATAGGATATGATGACAAATGAGCACACAGTCCACCTGATGGTAAGTAGTTGCTGTGACCCATAGACATCTACATCTATCTTCAATAAAGAATCAAAATGCAAATGCGTTGTCACCCGTGAGGACTAAGATGGAATGCCTGTTTTCCATTAAAAAAGGTCTCCGGTTCTCTACACTCACCATACGAAACATTGCAGTATTAAGCTGCTATTTTACACAGGTATTCTGTGAGAGCGTGGTCCTTTCCGGTCGAGCCAACCCATTCGTGCTACAACTATACTACTAATATAGCTGCAGCGTGGCTCTACCACGTGTAAAAACTCAGAGTCAAGAACTTTGCGGTGTTTCACTCTCGTGCCTTTCAAAGCGGGTAAAGCCTTTGGTCCTGATCTCTCTCCGGTCATGAGAAATTGCTGTTCCATCGGGTTATGAGAGTGAGGGAATTGCGAGTGCACCTGTGTTTAAGCACACACACGTGTACTAAAATCCTGTCCTGTGCAGACTAGTATCCATTGAGACTGGCCGCTGTAAACGAAATTCGTTCTCGAGGTCGTTATTATTACTTATATAGAAACAATATAATTATGCATTGTTTTGCAAATATATGTGAAAAAATAAACAAGTTAATTCAATAAATTTCACTTGGGCCCCCCAACGGGTAGATTAATAGCGCTAAAGTTAAACAACCGCACTCGGCAACTATCCCCGCAACGACCAGTGAATATTTACGAGCCAAGCTTTAGAACCGCAAATTTCCAATGACCCGCCCGCTTTCCCGCTGGCCTGAACAAATAGAGGCGTCACAAAGACTGCGGGTCAGTACAACAGTTCTAATTACGGTGGGTGGTTAACGTTGAACAAGAACACGCTGTTGGCCACCAATATCGCGAATTCAAGCAGTAAGTTATTGCTTTCAGTACTTGTATCTCTCACGTACAATTGTGCTCTTAATTCGAAGTGATTAAACTGCACTAAAATATTGTAATAAGAAATTTTAATATATAATATCTTACTGAGAGTTCAGTTACTTATTTCGATCTTCCCCTTAGATACTTGAAGAAATATATTCCAAGATTCTACAAAGTTGAAAGGCTGAGAGTTTTAAAATAGGAGAGTAATAATTTAGAAGTATAAATTATTGAACCATCGATAAAAAGGTAGAATGGAGCGAGGAATCCGCTGGATTGCTATGATGCATGATCCTAGTATATCACCGAAATAGGTACGATGTTTTCTGATGATATAAATTACACAGAACGTGAGCAACCCAGGTTTGAGCCCCACCGGCATCAATGAAATTGTTAATTGCAATTTTAAGTGTTGATTTAACACGTGCTTGGCGGTGAAGAACATCGCGAGGAAAGTGTCTGAGAAATAAAAAAAATATTTTAAAGACACGTGAAGTTCGCAGACACGCATTGGGGTAGCGCGGCGGACAATTCCTTACCTAAAACAAACATATCCAAAGAAATGGGGGGAGGCCTGTGCCCAGCAGTGGGACGTATATAAACTGTAACTATAACTTTTTAACTTTAACGATGTTTTCTATTAAGTGGCTTAGTAATTAGCTGGCTCCTCTTCTAACTAGGTGTCCTAAATTTAAGATGCCGTTAAGTCTCGTGCTGTCTCTATCAGTTTAAGTCAAAGTGACTGTGACAACACGAGACTTAACGACATCTTAAAAT